GACGTGCTTCAGGAGTCTTCTGCGCGCTCTTATCGTCCATCCCCTGACCTTCTAAAGTCTCGGACTCAATTGATGCACAGAAGAACACACTTCACCCTCCTCAAGCAGTCTCGACACCCAACGCCAGAGACGATTCTGCAGAGACAATCTTCTACGAGAGAGCTGTGGGACGAGGCCGTTACAGAGTCAAACGGACACATGGAACTTGTTCCTACCGCTTCCTCCTGGGTCTTTCACTGCAGACCATCTAAGACTCTCTACGAGGTCTGATGACCCAGACAGGAAGTGGCCTCACGCGACCATCAGTGAAACAGTCGCGTTCATCAAGCGGAAGATCGAAGAGACTGCCCTCTGCAGAGAAAAGCATCAACCTGTTCCACTGTTCTGAATGAACTGTGATGGTTCTCCTAGTGGAGGAGATCCACAGTCCCTGAGATCAGGAAGTCTCTCCACAGATAACCTGTCCTCCTGCTCAATGGTCAGCTCTGGTCTTCATCTTATGTCTCTCAGAAGAACAATCTGGATGTGTTTGCTGCAGAAAATACTGGCGCTTCAGAGGAGGTCTTCTAAGCTGCTGCCAGTGGTCAAGAGCCTGCTAACCAAGCTGTGTAAGTACAGAAAGTAACGTGGTCAATTCAGGATCGTTTGGTCTAAAGCACGTAAATCATGTTTTTGTTGTGTTGTTTCTTCAACTGTAGTGCTGTAACTCTCAAAGAGAAGCTGTGAAGCTCTGCGCCGCCAGTCCTCACACTCCCAGTCTCTAGTCTGAGACAGCCTGGACCTGAGTAACAACTGACCTCAGGAACTCAGGAGTGAAGCTGTTGTCTGCTGGACTGAAGGGTCCACTCTGTACACTCGGAGACTCTCCGGTCAGATCAGTTACTGTTTGTTTAAATGTGATATAAATATGGTTAATGAACAAAAGCTCATCTGTGGTTTTGATCAACTGATTTAGACTTGTTGTACTTTTTGTAAATGTCTTGTTCAGTCAATAATCTGCTTTGCGATTTTCAGTTTGTTTAAAATACGCACAACTCAGAACTTCACGTCCTGAGACAGAGATTACATCTGAACAGCCAGTTCTCATGGTGACTGTCTGAAAGATGCACAGTTGACTTGGTACATGGAGCAATTTAAGCCTTTTTTATTTTTGGTTATCTTTGGTTGTTTGTTCAGTCTCATTATTGAACGGTGATTACAGTTTAACACTGATGTTATTTGTCCCTCTTGTTCATGATCATTCCTCCCGATGAGTGGCTGTAACTCTCGAAACGAGAAGCTGTAGAGCTTCTGGCTCAGTCCTCAGCTCCCCCAGTATCTAGTCGAGACACTGGACCTGAAGTAACCGATCTGACAGGACTCTCAGGAGTGAAGCTGCTTGTCCTGCTGGGACCTGGAGAGTCATCTGTACACTGGAGATCTCAGGTCAGTGAATCCATCAACCTGTTTATTGTGAAGTTAACAGAAGCAGCAGGTGTTGACAGAGGTTCCTGTGTGTTGTTTTGTGTGTTCAGTCTTGTCAGGATGTCTGGTCACAGAGGAAGCTGTGCTTCTCTGGCCTCAGCTCTGAGCTCCAACCTCCACCTGAGAAGAGCTGGACCGAGCTACAATCATCCAGGAGACTCAGGACTGGAAGCTTCTGTTGCTGGACTGGTAGGATCCAGACTGGAGACTGGACACTCTCAGGTATGTAGAAGGCTGCTGCAGACACACACACGGTCTGATAGAGGAGGCGACTTTATGGCAGGTGGCAGACTTTCTATTAAGACAGGTGATGCAAGTGTCTTCTCCATGTCTCCTCCCTGCTCTGTATCAATTAAAGATGGAAGACTCCACTTCCTGTTTTTCTCTGTGGTCCATGTACATCCCATACACACAAGCCTCCATCTGGAACACAAGTAATATCAAACAGTCTGATGTTAGAGCCATGTAATGTCCATGGTGTGAATGCTTTACAGAGAAGTGCTGGTCCTGACCCCCTCCTCATGGCCTGGTGGAGTCCGATGGTTGACGACAGGTCTGCGGAAGTGTAAGTGTGTTTTTAATGTGACTGATGAAAACAAAGCAGCACATTCAACCATCTTCAAACTGTCACATCACTGATGTCAGGAGTCATCATCAAACTGTCAATAACTGATCAGATGATCAATAACTGCAGCTGTGTCTTGTTCTCTCCATCAGATTCCTGTGAACTCACAATCGACACAAACACAGTGAACAGACAGATCAAACTGTCTGACGACAACAGGAAGGTGACACGTGTGGAGGAGGATCAGTCATATCCTGATCATCCAGACAGATTTGACCACTGGCTTCAGCTGCTGTGTTCAACTGGTCTGACTGGTCACTGTTACTGGGAGGTCGAGTGGAGAGGAGATATTTATATATCACTGAGTTATAGAGGAATCAGCAGAAGAGGAGACAGTAACGAATGTATATTTGGAAAGAACCATCAGTCTTGGAGTCTGAGCTGCTCTGATGGCCGATACTATGTCTGGCACAACAACAAACAAAAATCCATCTCCTATTCCCCCTCCTTCTCTTCCCTCTTGTGTTCTGTCTCTAACAGAGTAGCGGTGTATGTGGATTGTCCTGCTGGCTCTCTGTCCTTCTACAGAGTCTCCTCTAACAAACTGATTCACCTCCACACCTTCAACACCACCTTCACTGAACCTCTGTATCCTGGGTTTGGGTTTAGGTCCAGGTCCAGACCTGGTTCCTCAGTGTCTCTGTGTTGAATGTAGCAGAGAGAGAAACGTTCTCACTGTTGAACAGATAGTTCAGTCTCCACATGTCTGTCTCTTTCACTCACACGTTTTCAGTTTTTAAATGTATGTTTTGTACATTTAAATTGTTTGCTGAAAATTATCTTTGTAACGATACACTGAACATAACGAATCACTATGTTTCATTTATTTAGTACTTCCTGTCTTATTGTGAAATCACTAACATGTCCTGTCATTTCAGTCCAATCATCCTCACATGGTCCCCACTTACTACCTGCCCCTGCTCTTCCCTGTCAGTAGACCCTGTATATGTACTACACTTTCCTTTGTTCCTGTGCCAGATTGTCATTGTCATTGTTGTGCGTCCTTTTCTCGTGGTTTCCTCGTGTGATTGATCATGTGATTGCCTAAGTCTGTCTTTTGTAGACTGGTAACAAATTTGTGTTACTGCAGTGTGTAAGAGTACATTACATAATGTACAAAGTAGTGTAGCAAAGTAATAATAAAGTAAAGTGGTTATTATCCATAAAGTTTGCTGTTGGAATGTGTCAAAACTATAACAGCGTACTATTACATATATTCATGTTCTACTGCATCTATATCTCATATACCCACGATACATTTTGAATTTACTTATAACACAAATGTACACTTAAGCTTCACTAATCAAACAGCCATATACTTAAAGTGTACAAAGTACTCTTGAAGTTGTTTCACCCATAAAAGTTCACTGAATGCACTTCAATTTAATTAAAACTAAAGCATAGTTGGTTTAACCAGCTGTTCAAAGATATTGTACTTGTAGTGTATTATCCACTTCATTCCTTCCTCTTTAAACAGTTTAAATTGTTATAGATCCTTCCTTTATGTAAGTTTATTAATAAGTTAAAGTCTGTGTCAATTAAGGTTTTATCAAAGGTTTCTTTGAAATTACATATTATAAGTTAAGTTTAAGGAATGTGCATTAGGGGTAAATCTGCTTACTCTTCAGGTTTTCGGTCTCCTACTGAATAAGACACTCAGGATGTGTGGGTCCTTTTTCTGGACCACCAAAAGGTTAACAGGTGTATGAGAGTACCAAAAATGAAAAAGAGAGGTTTTCCCCAATGTTTGACCCAGAAATATGGTCGACAAATTTGTGTGAAGGCCCTTCTATTAAAAGAAAGGCACATCCCAAAAGGTGGGATGAACAGATAAAAGAGGGGTTTGTGAGACAGTAGTAGAAGAGGTGTCTCTCACATTGGCAGAGATGCTCCAGGATTCGGCATTTTAGACACTGTGTTCTTTCTTGTAATAACTTCTTTGAATTACAAGTAAAGACGTGTCGGCGGTGATCACTTCTTCACGATCAGCACGCTCAAGATACCACTAACTGAAACTAATATCATTAATAAATAAGTATACTGGTCATTAGTTGCACTACCTAAACTTAATTTAACCTTACTCTACTTAAAAACAGAAGCTACGATTATTACAGGATAAAAATGTTGTTACTTCACTTTTTGAAGATTCTGGCCGTCATGTTCTTGTCTTTTCACAATAAAAGTGAATATCAGTGTTTGGTTTTCTCTGAATCTTAATACAACTGAGGCCTCTAGTGTTTGATGGTTTATGTCCAGAGCAAAGACTGAAAAGTTCTAAGAAATTAGTTTACAATGGCTTTGACAAAACTTGAGGGTGTGATGACGCTCTAGAAATTTTGAGGTTGTTGGTTCAATCCTGAGACAGAGATTTAATGTTTATAAGCCGATGTCCAGAGGAAAGACTGGAAGTCCCCAAGAGAAGAACTGGTTTTTGTTTGTCCCAGTTCTCAAGCTGTTGAAGACTTGTCTAAAGGTTAGAGGTCATGGGTTTAATCCTCAGTGACTCATTGAAGTTTGAAGTCCAACACTAAAAGTTGAGAACGCAAAATCTCTCAACCTTAAAGTGTTGAGACATTTAGAGGTTGTGTGTTTGATAATTAGCATGTCAGAGAGTCCAACACCCAGAGGAAAGACTGACAAGCTTTTAGAAAAGGCCAATTATCTAAAGCGCATGTCTTTGGACTGGTGGAGGAAGCCGGAGCACCTGAGGAAACCACGCACACATGCTGATCTCACAGAGCCACTGCACCACCGTGCTGCCCTGCTGATCTTTAACATGCACCTGATTTTCTCTGGCAGTTACTCGCATGATGAACTTTACTGACATACTTTCACTATGTTCGATACTACTTGTGGACTTTTACACCAGGTAAAATTATAAAGCAGGATTTTCACTTGTAGTGGAGTGTATTTACTTCTTAACAACTTTTTCTCTTAATTAGGATTTTAAATGTATTTATTGTGTTTGTTTTGGACAACAGCACAGAAGGAACTATTAGGATCAACTCTGCCTGATAGATTTGAGAACACTTATCCATCTCTGTAAATACTCTGACAATAAAGAATTTCAGCTGCTCTGGTAGGTGATTTATCGGTGATTATATGGATGATTATTTACGGTGCAAACAGAAAAGCTGCAACTTTGTCACTTTTGTCAAACTACAACTTAACATGTTCTTAAATTCTTCTGCGCAGTAACTTTGCTTATCTTTATTTTGCACCTGATTTTCCTGGCAGTTATTGACGATCCTCCACCCTTCACACACACACAGACCTTTCTGGTTGTTGCCATGTTGAACTTTAGTTTCACTTTGAACAAACACGATGTCGCAGATGATTTTCTCCCCTGAAGGTAATGTGAGCAGTTTTTAATGTTTTACTCGTTAAGACCTCTCGTTACCTGAGTCACAGTAGAAGTATTGATGTTGATATTTAGAGTAGAAGCAAAGTTACACTAGAAAGATAATTCTGCTTTTTAACTAAATCAATTTTCTAATTAATTATATATGTCTATATATATATATAGGAGAAATACTGCAATTTAAAAATTCTCCTCTGCAAGTTATAATCCTGTATCCAAAGTATTACCTGTGCTTTATTATTCTATACTTATATACGTGTCATTTTTACACTTGTATTAACATGTAAAGAGCATTTTAAAATTCATTTTAATATAAACTTTTACACGTTTTGTTTATAACGTGTGTGTCGTCTTGCTGCTTTGAAGTGATGTGGGAACTAAATACTTCTTTGCTTGTTGAACTCCAGATCTTATCAAGAGTTTCATCAGTTTGGATTCCAGGTATTAATTACAGGTAAGATAGAGACAGTGTGCAGTTAGTCCTCGTCTAACTAATTCATTCAAATTAATCACTGAGCTCTTGTGTCTTTTAATATTTCTGTCTGAGGGATTTCTCTGAATCTTAATTAGATCGTAATATTTCTGTGTGGGATATGTGTGTTTTGTTGACAGACCTGTGAGTAAAGAGACTGACTCACCTCACATCAGCCTCTTTCTGGTGATTTCTGTAGTTGTGAATCACGTTACTGCAGCTTCATGACGCCATCTAGTGGACTGATGGTAGAAGTACAGCAGCTGATGGCAGCTTCCTCTGCCTCACACTGATATGAAACAGAGAAGAAGAGCCAATCAGTGGAGGAGCAGCTGGAGAAATGATGTACATTTGAGTTGATGTGCAGATGAATGATGTGTGTTTCTCTCCACATGAAGGTAGAAAGTGTGTGTGAGCTGATGTGGATGTGAACTCAGCAGCATGGATCAGTGTGAGGACAGAGAGGAGGGAGCCCCTCCCTCTAACATGTCAAAGGATGTTATCATTGAGTTTAAAGGGCGACGTCCATCAGCTGATCAGATGTAAGCTGTAACTGACAGTGAGACTCAGTGAGCTGAAAGCTACAAAGCAGTTTGTCGTCGTAAACTCAAATTGTAACCTGAAGAAAAGTTCCAGTTTGTGTTTGAGGGGATTTCTAAAGCAGGAAACCCAACCCTTCTGAAGCAGATCTACACAGAGCTCTACATCACAGAGGGAGGGACTGGAGAGGTCAATGATGAACAGTACAACCACTCTGTGATCCATCTTCTGTTTCATGTCAACTTTCTCTCCTTCTTTCTACATGTTTGCTCTTTTCTCTGACATCTGTCATTCTACATCCCTGCTGGTCCTCACTACTGTCCTGTAAGTTGCCCTCAGTGTGTCTCCACCATCTCCAGTCACCTGATCCCCCTTCAACCAGCAAGTAGAGGAATATATTGGGTGTTGAAGACGTCAGTTGATGATTATTAGTTGTCAGGTTTCTCAGCGTGTCAGAGTCGGAGCAGGAAGCTGCTGCAGGTTAAATATTAAAGATAATAAAGTCATATAAAGGTGCAGCAGCTGATCTTTGAGCGGAGCTGCAGGTTCAGACTGGTTCATAAGTGTTTCACTCTGACAGCAGCCTGCACACACAGAGGACTGTGAAGGACAACAAGCAGAGGATTTCAGCTCATGGTTTTCTTCACAGACCTGGTCCAGACCCCAGAGAGAGTGAAGAATCTGAGTAAGTGGACTTTGATTGATTTCAGTCTCTGAGTTTGCTCTTCATCACAGACGAGCTGCTGTTTGTTTGTTGGTGTGTTGACATGGAGAACAGAAAGAAGAAGAATGACTCCACAGCTCTTTAATTCTTTCATTCATACATCGTCTTTCTCTTGTTTTCTGAAGGTTTCATTTGCTTTGTAAAGTGTCCTTGGGTGTCTAGAGAGGGGCTTATAAACACAATGTACTATTATTATTATCATCATTATTATCATCATTATTATTATTATTATTATTAATAAAGTTCATCCAACAACAGACACTTGAGAATCCAGCTCAGTCCACAAGTAGATCTTTCCTGATGAGACACAAGTCAAATCAGACTGAAGACTAACGCAGTGTGTGTGTGTGTGTGTGTGTGTGTGTGGTGTGTGTGTGTATCACACTCTACACTTCACATTAGAACTGATTCAGTTTGATCCTTGAAGCTCTTTGTTTTTTATTGTGACTGTTTTATTTGAACGTTGAACGACTCAATAAAAACTCTGAACCAGAGTCCTGATATCAGATCCTGATCTAGATGCTGGACTTTGATCTGATAACAAGTTGTTTTATGAAGGATCATGATTCATGTTAATTGGGGCAATGACTGTGGTTACCATGGTTACACACAGAGTGATCTACATTAATGTCTCTAACAGAAACCAGTGAGCGCCCCCTGGTGGCTCCTGTCAGTCTACAGGGATCCTGGAGGATGGATTGATGGTGGATGTGAAGGGTTAACAGAGTCTCACTGTTGCCTTCAGTGCAGCTTTTCATTTACATATTTTTATATTATGTTTTCAGACGTATTGAAATAGAAGAAATAAGCACTAAACATAGAAATCATCGTATTAAAAGCCTGTAAAACACAGTTATATGTCAGCTACGACTGACACACTGACTCTGTCTGGAACAGGAGCTTTGCAGCTTCACAGTGATCAGAGAAAGTGTCAGAGTGAAGTTTGGAAAGATTTGTCCAGAAACGCTGAAACATTAAAACTATAATGAGTCAGAGTCTGTAACTGTAAAGTCCAGACATGTCCGCCATGTTGAGTGGATGTTTTCAGCAGAAGCAGAGTTAGTGATTGAACACAGAGTCGTTATTTACTGTGTAGCTCCACTTAGTGATGACTGGAGGCAGCTTTTCCCACCTGAATCATCCTGTGGAGGAGGAGATGAGCTGCTGCTCTCCGCTGTCTGAGCTTCATGACGCCATCTAGTGGACGGATGGTAGAAGTACAGCAGCTGATGGCAGCTTCCTCTGCCTCACACTGATATGAAACAGAGAAAAGAAGCCAATCAGTGGAGGAGCAGCTGGAGAAATGATGTACATTTGAGTTTGATGTGCAGATGAATGATGTGTGTTCTCTCCACATGAAGGTAGAAAGTGTGTGTGAGCTGATGTGGATGTGAACTCAGCAGCATGGATCAGTGTGAGGACAGAGAGGAGGGAGCCCCTCCCTCTAAAACCACTCTGTGTGGGGAACATGAGAGCCAGACCAGAGCTCAGAGGTGAGATGAGATCTCTAACTGTCCATGACTCACATCACTGCTCATCATTATTCACACTCAAAGCTCTGTGTGTGTTAGGGTTAGAGACACACCACACTCTGCTGGACCTGGACCTGACCTGGACCTGGACCTGGATCCAGCTGTGTGTCCATGAAGAGCAACACATCCATGAACCCTCCTCTTAAATTCAGACAAATCTGTTGATGGAAGGTCAGAATTTAAAACAGTCAGAAAGACGTTTCTCACTAAAAGTCAGTTGTTGTGTTTATTTAAAGATTGAAGATATTTTTCATCAGTTTTTATTCAACATGAACATTTATCAGTTTCTGTTTTGAGCTGAAAGCTACAAACAGCTGCAGACTGAGCTGTTGATTCTCAGTGGGATCGGCAGGACTAGTAAACCTTTACCGCTACAGGGAGTCGTCTGACTTGGCTGTCACATCCAAACGTGACTTCATGGACCTTTAGCTTGTGTCTGTCTGGTGTGACAGGGACATAATGTGAGCTCATTCTTCATGATTCCTCCACAGAGTGGACCAGGAGAGCTCAGAGGTTCCCAGTGCTCAGTCTGCCCAGCAGCATCAAACACAGCTGGACTCCATATTTATGGTCTGTACATGTACAACAACTACTGCTCCATCTGTTGTGTTCACAATAATCTCCATGCTGCACTTTCAGACCAGTGGACTGTCAGTCTGTCCAACATGGATCTGATGTTTGATGCTGTCATTCATATAGTTTTCTGTTCCAGCTGCTGGAGGAGAACATGGTCACTTTTGTCAAGAATGAGCTGAAGAAGATGCACAAGCTTCTGAGTCCAGATTACCCAGAATGCTCAGGGAGTCAGAGGGAGGATGAGGAGGTGTTGGACGCTGAGGATGAAGAGCAGAGGAGGAGCAGAGAGGCATTTGTGAAGATCACAGTGAACTTCCTGAGGAGAATGAAGCAGGAGCAGCTGGCTGACTGTCTGCAGAGCAGTAAGAGGATTTCTCTAAAGATTCAACATGATGGAGAAATGAGACATTTACTAACATCAACACATTCCTCAGGGGAAAAATGATCATATTTTCTTGATGAATCAGTTAAGTTCCAATTTCTTGTCTTTTCATCCAGGACAATAATTTAATCCTTTTCATCCAGGACAATAATTTAATCTAAAATCTAAGAAGTGCCCAGTTTTGAAGCTCTGATGATAGATAAATGGTGAAAGGACACAGAGGACGGGTGGACCATCATTCACTCTAAAAATCAACACAGCACAGCTTTACCCTCATCAGGATCAGTGCGCTACTGAATCGTATACAAACTACTTTCAGCTAAAAGTGTTACATGCTAAACCCCTATTTCCTTCATGTTGTGAAGTTAAATTAGCTTAACTGCTAACATCATTCTCTCTCCTCATCAAAATAAATAGTACCAAGTCAAGGCAGCCTCAACAAACAATTATTTTGTGCTTTAAATCCTAAGCTGTACACCTTCTTTACTGGTCACTGTTTTGTTGTAATGCTGCTTGTTATTCATCTAACTCTAGTTTTTGACCAGTGGCTGTCTTGCAAAGGTTGTTGCAACCAGGCATCTGTTGTTAAAGTCATAGTTTCAGGAAACAGGATGGGAGGGGCGAGGAGTGGTGAGGAGTAGCTAACAGTGTGACTTTGTTTAGAGTCTTACTCCATTCTCTTGTTGGTGAACAAGTTTGATACAGCGACTTTAAGAAAATATACTTTTGTGTTCTTTCAGAATCTCCTGCTATGTGCCAACCTAGACTCAAATCTAACTTGAAGAAGAAGTTCCAGTTTGTGTTTGAGGGGATCGCTAAAGCAGGAAACCCAACCCTTCTGAAGCAGATCTACACAGAGCTCTACATCACAGAGGGAGGGACTGGAGAGGTCAATGACGAACATGAGGTCAGACAGATTGAAACAGCATCCAGGAAACCAGTCAGACCAGAAACAACCATCACACAAGAAGACATCTTTAAAGCCTCACCTGGAAGAGACGGACCAATCAGAACAGTGATGACGAGGGGAGTGGCTGGCATTGGGAAAACAGTCTTAACACAGAAGTTCACTCTGGACTGGGCTGAAGACAAAGCCAACCAGGACATACAGTTCACATTTCCATTTACCTTCAGACAGCTGAATGTGCTGAAAGAGAGAAAGTTCAGCTTGGTGGAACTTGTTCATCACTTCTTTACTGAAACCAAAGAAGCAGGAATCTGCAGGTTTGATCAGTTCCAGGTCGTGTTCATCTTTGACGGTCTGGATGAGTGTCGACTTCCTCTGGACTTCCACAACACTGAGATCCTGACTGATGTTACAGAGTCCACCTCAGTGGACGTGCTGCTGACAAACCTCATCAGGGGGAAACTGCTTCCCTCTGCTCGCCTCTGGATAACCACACGACCTGCAGCAGCCAATCAGATCCCTCCTGAGTGTGTTGACGTGGTGACAGAGGTCAGAGGGTTCACTGACCCACAGAAGGAGGAGTACTTCAGGAAGAGGTTCAGAGATGAGGAGCAGGCCAGCAGGATCATCTCCCACATCAAGACATCACGAAGCCTCCACATCATGTGCCACATCCCAGTCTTCTGCTGGATCACTGCTACAGTTCTGGAGGAGGTGTTGAAAACCAGAGAGGGAGGAGAGCTGCCCAAGACCCTGACTGAGATGTACATCCACTTCCTGGTGGTTCAGTCCAAACTGAAGAAGGTCAAGTATGATGGAGGATCTGAGACAGATCCACACTGGAGTCCAGAGAGCAGGAAGATGATTGAGTCTCTGGGAAAACTGGCTTTTGAGCAGCTGCAGAAAGGAAACCTGATCTTCTATGAATCAGACCTGACAGAGTGTGGCATCGATATCAGAGCAGCCTCAGTGTACTCAGGAGTGTTCACACAGATCTTTAAAGAGGAGAGAGGCCTGTACCAGGACAAGGTGTTCTGCTTCGTCCATCTGAGTGTTCAGGAGTTTCTGGCTGCTCTTCATGTCCATCTGACCTTCATCAAGTCTGGACTCAATCTGATGTCAGAAGAACAATCAACCTCCAAGAAGTCTGAACCAAGACGAGACGAATCTGCAGAGACAAACTTCTACCAGAGAGCTGTGGACGAGGCCTTACAGAGTCCAGATGGACACCTGGACTTGTTCCTCCGCTTCCTCCTGGGTCTTTCACTGCAGACCAATCAGACTCTCCTACGAGGTCTGATGACACAGACAGGAAGTGACTCACAGACCAATCAGGAAACAGTCCAGTACATCAAGAAGAAGATTGAAGAGACTCCCTCTGCAGAGAAAAGCATCAACCTGTTCCACTGTCTGAATGAACTGAATGATCGTTCTCTAGTGGAGCAGATCCAACAGTCCCTGAGATCAGGACGTCTCTCCACAGATAAACTGTCTCCTGCTCAATGGTCAGCTCTGGTCTTCATCTTACTGTCCTCAGAAGAAGATCTGGACGTGTTTGACCTGAAGAAATACTCTGCTTCAGAGGAGGCTCTTCTGAAGCTGCTGCCAGTGGTCAAAGTCTCTAACAAAGCTGTGTAAGTGTAGAGAGAGTTGATTTATTCATCATTATATAAAGACACTTCTGTCTTTTCAACAGGAGAGAAAATAACTTCCTTTCTTCTTTAATTCCTCATGATCATCTCTTCAGACTGAGTGGCTGTAACCTCTCAGAGAGAAGCTGTGGAGCTCTGTCCTCAGTCCTCAGCTCCCAGTCCTCTAGTCTGAGACACCTGGACCTGAGTAACAACGACCTGCAGGACTCAGGAGTGAAGCTGTTGTCTGCTGGACTGGAGAGTCCACTCTGTACACTGGAGACTCTCAGGTCAGGATCCATCAACCTGTTTATCTGATGACAGTTTAACAGAGCAGCAGGTGTTGACAGAGGGTTCCTGTGTGTTGTTTTGTGTGTTCAGTCTGTCAGGATGTCTGGTCACAGAGGAAGGCTGTGCTTCTCTGGCCTCAGCTCTGAGCTCCAACCCCTCCCACCTGAGAGAGCTGGACCTGAGCTACAATCATCCAGGAGACTCAGGACTGAAGCTTCTGTCTGCTGGACTGGAGGATCCAGACTGGAGACTGGAGACTCTCAGGTATGTAGAGGCCTGCTGCAGACACACACACTGTCTGATAGAGGAGGGACTTTATGCAGGTGCAGACTTTACTATTAGACAAGGTGATGAAGTATCTTCTCCATGTCTCCTCCCTGCTCTGTATCATTAAAGATGAAGACTCCACTTCCTGTTTCTCTGTGGTCAATGTACATCCATACACACAAGCCTCCATCTGAACACAGTAATCAAACAGTCTGTGTATGAGCCATGTAATGTCCATGTGTGCATGCTGACAGAGAACGTGCTGGTCTGACCCCCCTCCTCCTTTCAGGGCGGAGCCTGGTGGAGTCCGATGGTTGACACCAGGTCTGAGGAAGTGTAAGTGTGTTTTTAATGTGATCGATGAAAACAAAGCAGCACATTCAACCATCTTCAAACTGTCAATAACTGATCAGATGATCAATAACTGCAGCTGTGTCTTGTTCTCTCCATCAGATTCCTGTGAACTCACAATCGACACAAACACAGTGAACAGACAGATCAAACTGTCTGACAACAACAGGAAGGTGAAACATGTGGAGGAGGAACAGTCATATCCTGATCATCCAGACAGATTTGACCTCTGGCCTCAGCTGCTGTGTTCAACTGGTCTGACTGGTCGCTGTTACTGGGAGGTCGAGTGGAGCGGAAGGGTTGATGTATCAGTGAGTTACAGAGGAATCAGCAGGAAAGGAGACAGTGAAGACTGCAGGCTTGGAGGGAACGATCAGTCCTGGAGTCTGAAATGTTCTGCTGATGGTTACTCTGTCAGTCACAATAAGACAGTGACATCCTCCTCCTCCTCCTCCTCCTCCTCCTCCTCCGACAGAGTAGCAGTGTATGTGGATTGTCCTGCTGGCTCTCTGTCCTTCTACAGAGTCTCCTCTAACAAACTGATCCACCTCCACACCTTCAACACCACCTTCACTGAACCTCTGTATCCTGGGTTTAGGTTTAGGTCCTGGTTCTGGACTCACTCGTCAGTGTCTCTGTGTTCAGTTTAGCAGAGAGAGTCTCCCCTGTTAAAAAAAAAGGGGACTGTGAAAGTTAACGCGTTAATGCTCGTGATTAATCTGGAAAGCTGAACATGTTATAGTTATGTTAACACAAATTAATCATATCGGCAAGATTGACCGCAACTTCCTCCCATAGTCCTCCAGTGCGGAATAAGGAGACAGACCCCGGTGTGCTTAATGGCAAATTTTGATTTAAAAAGCTTTGGAATAGAAGTTTAGATAAAACTAAAGTTCTGTGTATATACTGCAGTGATTAACTGTCTTTCCAGCAAAGCACAACAAGTCTGAAGCACCGTATTCGGGCAAAGCACATCTATTGCTATTGTTAGAAGTAAATAGTAGTATTTTAGTAGTATTTTAAACGAATGATTAATCATGATTAATCACAGCCTATTTATGTGATTAACTTGGTTCATTTTTTTAATGAATTGACAGCACTAAAAAAAAGTATTATTTTTTTATCTCAAATATATTCACATTTTGAAATGTATATTGCATATATACTGACAAAGAAGTGTACCAACTGAAAGTATATAAAAAGTATACTGCTTTTACCAATTTTCACAATATACCTTTAACACATTTGGTAATAATTGCAATATAATACACTTCCTTTTGCAGTAATAGCATTGTAAAGCAATCTGACTGAAACATCATTGTGCCACAAACAATTACACCTAATAAAGAGATTGTGAAAGGTTCTTTATACATGAATTTCTTTGTTTCATGGGCCTGGAGCAGTTTCACCAGCATCCACAAATCTGTTAAGATGTCCACACACTTTTGTCAATGTAGTTGCTATGTACTTATTTTAATAACTAACTAAAATAAGACGAGATGAGAATAAACCTTTGTATTTCCTCTCGTGGTTCTGATATGTATATATTAACAAAAGCGCACACTGGGCAAAGGATGAAGAGCAGAGCAGCTGTGACAAAACACAGAAAGACTGACTGAATTTAATTGCAGCAGGTGAATGTAGTGCCTCCACTTCTGATAATGTGTCGTTAAAATGTCTTTGCTTTAAGCTCCGCTCGTCTGACTTTTGCCTCATCATGCCATTACCTCCTTCTTCCTGGACATACGAGTGTGTGTGTGTGTGTGTGTGTGTGTTTGTGTTGTGTGTAATGGATTGAATGGAGGTTCAAGGCTGTGCGAGCGGTCTAATGGGTTTATATTTACCTGCCTGCCTCCAGATGCTCCTCAATTTGTTCCATTAGAAAAACAAAAAAACAGCCCTTCAGAGGAATTACTTTACTATGACTGACTGACATGAAGTACTGAAGCTTCAGAAAACACTTTATATAACCTCTACATCCAAAGCCACAATTTTTCATGTACTTAACACCAATTACTGTTATTCTAATGAACATGATGTGATTGCAGGTAAGTCAAGTAGTCAAGACTAATCTAAAAAGGAGGTCAAAACTCATCTCTCAAGACTAAGATCAAACTAGAAAACTAAAACTATTATTATCATTGTTTTTCTACTGTTGCTGCAACAATTCATATTTTACAACACAATATCACAAACTATCGTGAACGCAGAGGAATGATAGATGCAGGGTCTTAAACAGAGGCTCCTGGTGGCAGTAGACCCTTCAAGAGAAACATGCCCATGAGAAAACCTAAGTAGATGTAGAGCCTTTAAAAGAGGTTCCTTTGCCTACTGGAAAATAAGTTTCAACGAGAGGTTCCTGTGCAACACAGAGCCTTAAAGAGAGACTCCCGTGGATGTAGATCCTTTAAGAAAACTTTTTAAGGGATGTAGAACCTCAGAGAGATGTGTATGAAGTATTTTTGGGGATGTAGAGCTCTAAATACATTTTTTAGTGGATGCAGAGCCTGAAAACAAAACTTTGCAGTGGACACAAAGCTTCAACAGAGGTTCAAGGTGGATAAAGAACACTGTAGATGAGCTTTAACGAGACTCCCAGTGGATGTAGATCCTTAAAGAAAACTTTCATGTGGACATCGAGCCTGGAAGAGGTTCCAGGTGGACGCCGAACCTGAAAGCTGAGCTTCGTATTCTTCACCTTTCCAGAGTGGTCCGTTAAATGAGATAAACCCTGTGGTGCTTCAGTATTAGTCACACTGAGCGTCCAGACAAAGGGAAGATGCTGCAGCAGGTGTGTCTGTGTGTAATTGTAAACCATCACTCACAGGTTTGAATCCCGTCTTCCCTCCGGTGATGACATGACAGTTCGGTGTTAATCTGCCAAATCTGCCGTCTGACATTTAACACGCAGCCCTGAGGCGGTGAATGTCACGTCCATCCTGGGAAAACCTGGTATCTGCAGTTTTGGTCTTTTTGTTATAATTTTGTTTGTTTATAAAGTTTTGAGCCCACCTGTTTGGATTTGTTGTTGTTCATTTGTTTGTCCAATCTGCACCTGAAAACAGAGCAGAAAGCAGATAAACCATTACATTACAAATAAACAATAACCAATACATAGCAATAATATTCAATTATCACATAATCAATGAATGAATGTTTCTTCCTAAAAAAGTTCAGCTTGTGGAGTTACAGGGTTTTCACAGGAGGGGAAATATGTGTGGGAGGAGGAGGATGATATTTCATTGATTGTCCATTTTCATCTAGCAGTGTGTGTTTACCAGCATGAATGAATTTTGGCGATGACGTTTTATCTGTGTGTGTGTGTGTGTGTGTGTGTGTGTGTGTGCGTGCAGGCGTGTCCTTGGCTGACAGAATATAAAAGTCGGCCTAACGGTCAGAGCAACAAAAGAGGAGAAACGACAGAAATCTCTGTCTGACGGCCGAACGACAAGAAAACACCAGCAATAAGAAAAGGAAGAGGAGAGACAGAGACAGGACAGAGTGGTGAGAACATTAATTATTAATTATATATTCTGCTTACAAATCTTTATAAAAATCATTTCAGTTATAAAATATTCTTTGATTAATACTAACTGCTACTGAGTCAATCATTTTAAAAAAAGTTTACAAAATTGCTACCAAATCGTTTTCAATAATAAAATTTAATCTTAACAGCAAAATTTCTTTATGCTTTTCTAGAGTTAAGAAATAAAAGACAAGATTATAAATCAAAGTATAACTTACAATAATTTAAATAAGTACTAATTTAAAAGGTAGGAGATAAGATAAAGATATGAGGGACAAGTTCAGATATTTAGAATAAAACAAGGATATGATACGTTTTTAAAAATTGGAAATTTAATTTGTTAGGGAAATGAAAATCAAAAGCTAAATACATTACATACGTTATAATACATATATAAATAGACTATATAATTGTTTGTGTAATAAATAATAATAATTTTGTAAAATATATGTGCAAAAATAATGAATCCTAATTGAATTATAGGTATACGTACAATTATTCCAATATATATATAGTATATATAGTTTATAGTGTAGTTAGGTATATAAATGCCATATACTGTATCATCACTGTCCTGTAAAAACTATGTATCTCCACAAATGTTGATTTTGAATTTTTTGATAAATTGAACGTAATAATTGAAAGTGTTTATTTTCGAAAATTCTACTATTTATTAAGATAAATAAACCCTTTAAAACACATTGGATTATCTGAAAAATGTGTTTTTACAAAGTTGAAGACTATAGATGACGATAGAATATCAACAATTATACTGTATTTATTCAAATGTACATTATGTATATTATATTCGTTTTATACATAAAATAGTATAAAAGAAAATTTTATCTACATTAGGTAACAAAAAAGTTTTTTTTTTAAATGATATGTTTGATCAAGTAAGACGTGTAATTTGTGTCCTTGTCTCTGATTGGCCAACAGGAGAATGTGTCCTGCGTGGCTATTGGTGGCGGTGGTGGTTGTGGATGTGGCTAGAGGAGCTGTCAGTCAGTGCTGGGAGCATCCGAGCTGTCATGACCTCAGCTCTGAGAGCAGCATGATGGTAACACACATATACACACTACATACACCCTATACAACCTATACTGTGTACTATACTGGGTACACACTCAGCATGCATCGGTGACACTAAATATTCAGTGTATTTTATATTGCTGTTTTGTCATTGGATGATATTAAATTAAAAATAAATGATCACATTTCATGAATCAGAGGCAGTTTTCTCTGTTCTTATTCAGTTTTTTTTTTTTTTAAATAACTTTAACAGAACCCCCCTCTTAATTATTTCTTACCTTCACTACACCTCCTTGTTCTACTACAGGAGTGCATCCAACTCTGTCACTCTGACCTCACCGCCGAGACCCCCATCATCCCAGGCAACGCCCACCTCCAACCTCCCCCTCTGTCAGACCCCTCCTCCTTCATCCTGCCGTCCTCCTCCTCCTCCTCACCTCAGGCTAAGCGCTCCTACTCCATGGAGCACTTCCGCTGGGGGAAGCCCGTCGGTCGCAAGCGCCGCCCAGTCAAAGTCTACACCTCTAACGGTGTGGAGGAGGAGTCTGCAGAGGTTTTCCCCGGAGAGATGAGGAGGCGGGAGCTGGCCAGTGAGTTGTTGGCGGCAGCAGAGGAGGAGGACAAGGTGCAGGAGGTGATGGAGGAGGCGGAGGAGGAGGAGCAACAGCAGCTCTCGGATGGCGAGAAGAAAGACGGTTCATACAAGATGAAGCATTTTCGCTGGAGTGGTCCGCCGGCCAACAAACGCTACGGCGGCTTCATGAAGAGCTGGGATGAGCGCAGCCAGAGGCCACTGCTCACACTCTTCAAGAACGTCATCAACAAAGATGGACAGCAGCAGAAGTGAGAGGGAGGAGGGGGGAAGGAGGGAAGGAAAGAGGGAGGAAAAAGAGAGATTACTTTTTACACAGCTGACAGGCAGGCAGCAGAGTTCTCATTAGCCAGGGAAGCTCATTAGCAGACAAGTTAGTGACCAACAAAAAGCTCTGAAACTGCTGATCGTGACTTGATCCTGAATGACTGGAAGAGAGATAAAGAGAGAGAGTGAGAAAGAAGTTTTGATATTTATTGATTTGTGTAAATAACTGTAAATTATATGAAAACATAAAGAAGTATTTGCAAGCAAAAGAAGTGTTTTATCTATCTATCTATCTATCTATCTATCTATCTATCTATCTATCTATCTATCTATCTATCTATCTATCTATCTATCCATCCATCTATTTATTGTTTCTAACTATCTATTGTTTCTACAGTTACACAGTTACACTTAAATCTTATTACAGAAGAGTTAAATTCCAGGATGAATGTCTTACCTGAAGTTCACACAGATGCAGCTTCTGTTTCGACAAACCTGCAACATGGTCTTCACCAGGCCGACTAATACCACGACACATAAGTGGTTTACGATAACGGTGGCAGGTTTATCACTTGGAATACATATATAAACTCATTTTTAAAAACAACGGGTGCTTGATTTCAAACATATTTCCACATTTGCAGCTGGCGACCATCAACTTTGCTGATTTAAATGAAATTAACTCCTTGAGTTGGTTGAGCACGCTGTCTCTGGTTGACTTGTTTTAAAATGAAGCATATTTGTCTTTTTAATAATAATAGTAATTATATATATATATATACATACACACACACATATTCATGACTAAATAAGCAAAAATTTTAATTTTAGGAAAGAAAAGGTCCTTAGTAAAGCACGACCGATACACTGTCAGAATGATTTTATCAGAAGACTTGAGTTGATTGCAGATAAATCTGTGATTATAAATGCAGATAAATGACAATTAAAGTAAGTGAAAGCTGAAGACAGCTGAAGAGACTGCTATGATGCCACCACTGGCAACACAAACACTGTCACACCTGACTTGAATGACAATAAACAACAAGCCTTTTGTCTACAAAAGTTTGATTTTACATTTATTTGTTAAACACTCAGTAACACAGTTCTAGCAAGTGAATGAACAGCGGCCCAAGCATTCTCTCCCTCATCTCAAGTGCTAATTAGTTAGCCACTGCTAGCTAGCTAGCGAATACCATAACTTGTCAGTGGAAGACAGCTAATGAGCTATTAACGTACATTTTGACAAAATGATAAATATATATAAACATATCCGTGACTCAACAGTCAGTACAGTTAGTCAGTTGTATTGGAAACACAAGTCTGGTTTCCACTAGATACTATGCCTTCAGTTTAAAACATAGTTTTCACTTTAAGTTTTGGAGCTTTGACGATGTTTTTCTAAAATATCACTTGATCACTGGGTTTTATTATAATATTGTGGTAAAGTTTGTGGTCGAGTTCTGTTTGGCGGAGTCAGACTATAGCCTCTGTCTGCCTGCCACTCATCAGTATGGGATGGTAATGGTGCATGCAGGTGATTGGTGGAAACGGGGTGAGGGCTGGTCCACTGTGTGTGTTGTGTTGGGTTTTAACTGGTGAACGGAAGCTGCTGAGTCCCTCTGCCTAGTTTGCCTAGTTACGCATGCCAAGCTGCAGTGAAGATCAAACGTTTCAGTTTAAAACCAGTTTCCATAATAATATTTTATTGTACGATAATATGTGTGCTTATACTAACTAATAAAACATGAGTAAATTTCAGTTATTTCAATTATTTAATAAGAATTTTATATATTGTAACCTGTTTTCATTTTCAGGTACAGAAATGGATGTTGTGATATTTCTTGTCAGTGTCCTCATCATCTATCCTCACGTTTAATTTAAATACAGGACGTGCGCGCGCGCACACACACTGCTACACTAATTTCTGCGGCGCAATTCTATGACAAATCACGTTTAACGTTTAATCTGCCTCACACAGACAACATCAATTAACGTTAATCTGCTAATTTAAATGTATGGTAGCTAGTTTGATAATTACGTAACGTTAGGCTAACGTTATTACCGTTAGACCTTGCCAATCGTTACCGACATTATCAACGTTAGCCTAACAGGTTTAGCAAGTCTGTGTTAATTTAATTTAATTCATAATCAACTGTACACATCCTCCACAGCCCCTTTACCTGTGCAGACGAGTTAAAACCCCGCCCTTACCTGAGGAAGCAGCCAGGCGGACTGAGCAGCATCAACACCGGTTTCTGTTGCCGTGTTGAAAAGATTGAAATTCATCAATTATTCCCGCTTAAAGTTTGAGGGACTGAACCGAGCGCTGTCATTGTTCGAACTCTTCTTCTTCTCTTAGTCAGCAGACGAGACGCTGCTGCCCCCTGCTGCTAGCCTTGAGTACTGCGCGCGTACAATTGAACTCGAGCGTCACTAGCTTTTTGCGTAGTTTGCAGCGACACATCGTACCAGCGTACTCTGATGTAATAAAACGTTCCTGCTACGTAAAATGCGTACAGATTGGCAGCTCTACATACGGTACGAGTAGGTATCCTCACCAGTTAGATGATCATTTGTTCCAGCCTCCGAGTCACGATGGGTGAGTTCTGGGACATTAAACATTTTCCACCTGGCAGCTAGAAAATCATTTGCTTCTGCAAAAAAATCTAAGTTATAATTATTGATTTTAATTAAATCAGAAAAAGGCCCGAATCATTAATTACAGATACTGTTAATAACACAACATATTCACAACATATAAACAACAGATTTTGCTGCTGTGGATCAATGAATCAATAAAATAACACATTTATATCAATATTTTATTAGAGCATCTAATATCCAGTGGACAGATTTAACTCTGATGATCAGACTTCAGGAGCACAGTGACAAATCTCTCACACACATTTAAAACAGAAAACAGAAAAAAAAAAGGGCTGAATGATGAACAAAAGGTTGGAAGCAGAAATCAATCAATCAATTTATCATTCAAATCAAATAAAATCTGACTTTAAAGGACATGGCAGCAAAGACAAAACATGTTAAAAATCATGTTACATGTTTTTATTTAATCTAACCAGTGTAAGTGCTGATGTGACTCATCCTCCACTAACTCCTTCTTACCTTCCCTACCTCCTTGTGCCCTCGTCTCCTAACACGTCACATTCAGTAAGGAAAGTGCTTCAACACAAAACCAGCTGAATGTGCATTCGCATCTAATAGACGCACAGGTCAGGAAACTTCATCTCGTAAAGCGGCGTGGAGCGAGGTGGCGAGTGTCCGGACGGAGACGGAGGAGGATGTATGATCAAATCAAAGACCTGATCCAGTTTAGACTGAAGTAACGAGGTCTGTGGAGAGAAAACAGCATGTTTTTACATGATTAAAAGAAAAATATACATTTTAAAGGACGAAAACATAATGACAGAAAAATAACATAATATACAGATAAAATAATTTATATTAATAGTTGCATTTTTATATTTGTCAGTCCATCCAGATTCTGGTCGTGATCATCTCAGTTCTCTAGCAGAACTAGACTTTTTCAAATCTTCTCCAAAACTAAAAACAGTTTGGGGCATTTTTAGTTTGGATTTTTTAGTTATCCAGTGAACAGACAGAGTAACCTTCCTACCTTCCTACAACTGGCTGTAGTGTTTTATTGAACCTGTTGTTGTTACTGAAAACAAGTCAACTTACAGAAATACTGTAACAACTCAGAAAATCACATATTTCGTCTGTCTATATGAGAGACGTTGGGCTTCTTCATAGAATGAAGATGACTTAGACGCCTCACTCGCTGCTGACTGATTAGAGTACAATAAGTATAACCATAATTAGAGTATAATAACCCTCTCACCCTGGCTCCACAGTGAGCAGCGATCTCCTCAAACGGAGCCGTCTGAAACCTCTCCACCACCTCCATCCTCTTCCTCCTCTCCTCCTCCTCCACACTCCCTCTGTCCTCTGAAAGACAGGATGTTAACACAGAACGACTGACTGACTGGTTTCATGTTGTTCCATATAACGTGGGTGGGTGAAGACGGCAGGTTTTATGTGAGCTTGTTTGATCTGTCTGCACTGGTTCAAAATCAAACACCTACCGATGGCGTTCTTCAGCGTCTCAAAGGTGATCTGCTCCGTCTGAGGTTTCTACAGAAGAGAGAGACGGTGACATCATAGATAGCTACGTAGCTTCATAGTTAGCTACATAGCTAGCTGGACAGATAGATACCTGCTGTGCATCAGGACAGTACTGAGGGTCCATGTCAATCTGCAGAGAGACGACATCTCCAATACTCTTCCTCTTCGACAGACGATCCTCATCTGAAATAAACACAGTACAGTCTGAATACTAGAAGCAACAGTGTTAGCTTCAGCACTGAGGGAAGCGTGGAGTCTTATGTTGTGTGTTTCCTGCTCAGTGTGTGTGTGTGCACCTGAGAGCTGTGGTATGTACGGTGTGTTGAAGCATTCAGCGTGCGCACTGTAGCTGCTTCCTGTCAGAGCCTCGCAGATCTTTGATTGGGCGAACAGAAGGGCTTCGTCCACCTTCAGCTCACCTTCTGGCAGTCTGACACACACACACACACACACACACACACACACACACACAATGAAAAGTTAAACCTAATGTTATTGTCTACTGCAGGGAAGAAGAAATATTTAAGACCTTTGTAAATTTAAAGGACATTCAAGTGAAAAGTTGAAGAATTTTATGATTTAATGTCTTTTTTAACTTATTTATAAGGTATAGTTTCTATTTCTTAAAAACCCGGGTTACGGCTCCATATAAATCTTAATATAACAATAACTCTCTCTCTCTCTCCACTGTCTGTCTTTGTCTCTCTACCTGGGTTGGTCACAGAGGACGTCTTCAGGCAGCAGGTGTGGAGCGTCACTCTGTCGACTCTCTATGACCTGCAGACACATGAGAAATAAATTAACTATAGATGATGCTGTGCTGACACACACCTTCATTTGTCATTTTCTCTCACTCTCTCTCTCTCACACACACACACACACACCTGGGTGACGTGCTCGTGCAGCGGTGGAGGCGGGCCGAGCTGGGACAGCAGGTTGAGGAAGGCGGCACAGACGGCATGAACGCTGCAGCGGTTAAACACTGACAGACACTCCTGATTGGACAACGCCAGCTCCTGAGCAGCAGATCACAGAGTAGAAGAGGGATGATCAATCAGAGAGAAAGCAGCAACATTATCATTATTATTATTATAAACAGAAGCTCTGCTCACCTGCAGGGCCAGGACCAATCGGATCAGATCTACCACCACCTCCTCATTGGCCAGTTCCACACTCAGTACGGCCAACAGGGTGAAGAGAGCCTGGTAGTGGCTCTGCCCACTGCTCTCTTCCTTACAGGCCAGGTAGACATGTCTGTAGAGACGCTGAGCATGCTACACACACACACACACACACACACACACAGTTTTACTGTTTATTACTGTACTACAACATGCTACTGGAGATTTAAAAGAGGGTTTTCAGGTCTTGTTTGAAAATATTTGCATTCTAATATTTCTGTTCCTCAAACTGGCGGCGTCACGTTGTATCCTCTTACCTTCCTCATGAACAGGTTGTCCTGTCGAGAGCATCTGTCCTCCTTCAGCTCCAACACTGAGACATCAAACGCCACACTGCAGACACAGAGAGAGAGAGAGTTTAAAACCCACTTCTCATCATCTAAAGTCTGTCTATGCGCAGTAACATGAGTCTGCCACAAGATGGTGCCAGTTGACTTCATCAGAAACATAGGGATCGATACCCTCTGATCATGGGGTCTGTGCTGTGTCTGTGGGGATGTGACCTGGCTGTGGTGAGTCTGGCGGCGTTGTGGCGTCGGTCGATGAGTGAGGTGAGGATGGAGAGAACCAGCAGACGGATCTCAGGGTCCTCCATCAGAGTGAAGGAAAGCAGAGGCTCCAAGAAGGATGAGGGCAGCGCCGTCAACAGATTACTGCTCTCATAACGCCGTGATACCTGAGGCAGGGAGGAGATTACACAAGTCCTCAGGCTCTGTTATAGAGACAGTATGGACGGTGTTTCTGGACGTCTTTACACAGGGTTACTAAAGGCCCATGGAAGCAGGTTTGCATTTCGAAAGTCCCAGAAACATCAAATCTACAGCTAAATACTACTAATACTTTTTTTAACTGTAACTCTGCGACGGCGACAGTCAGAGCCGGAGGGATTATGTTTCCGGGTTTTCCTTCTTCTGAATCTCTCGCGATGTCTCAGTAACGCCTTCAGGGAACTTGGTACAAACATTCACTTGGATTCAAGGATGAACTGATTATATTTTGATGGTCAAAAGTCAAAAGGTCAAGCTCTAACTCAAGACTTCACACAGTAATTATGACAAAATTTCACACAAATGGTTAATATTTTATATGACACTGGATAAACAGGGATGTAACGACTGGTCCCACCACTGGTCAGTAGGTGTGTTTGCTATGTGGTTTAACTCAGCAGTAGTTTAGTAGTTTTGTCGCCAGAGAGACTGACGCTTCGCTAAACTGAACTCACCTGGAGGAGGGACTTCAACAACATCACCTGGATCATTCTGCTGCCTTCAAACCTGAGACACAGAGGGAGGTCACAGCACCTTCACACACATTCACTATTTAGATTTTAAAATATCTAAAACATGTTAAGTCGGTTTCAGAGAGCGGTACCCGGCATTGGGCGACCCCAGGGCGGGGTAGATACCAGGAACAGGAATCTTCCCCATGATGAACAGCATGACCTCTGACCTCTGGTAGACAGGAAGCGTGTTGGCGAAGGACCCTGGACAGATGACACCACTTCAAATGAGGCAACCACCTTAAAAAGTATTTCATCACAACAAGAACACAAACGCGTCCGGGCCTCACCAATAGTTTTGATGACGGCGTCCTGCAGCGTTTTCTCCTCGGGCGAGGTGGTTTTGTGTTTTCCTGCGTTGTCATAGTAACCGGTCAGCTCGTAGTCGACGCTCTGCCTGAGCTGTCGCAGTAACGTGTTGAACACTTCGAGGACTGTGGGACCTGACAGGATCATTCAAATACCACAAACGACACACTTAGCGAACAGCGTGAACACAGAAGACATAAACACACGAGCGCAGACTCTGACTGACCTACAGACCCAGTAGCTTCTATAACAGCAGCTTCAGACAGGACCTCCACGATCCCGGCTCTGACTGAAGCTGGACTCCGGCTGTTGGCGTCCAGGTGACCCAACAGCTGCTGGATCACCAGGTGGGAATGCTGGGACTGATGAGAACAGATAAGTGGAACAACACAGAGAAATACAGGCTAATAAAATCAAGCCAAAGACAGTCAAGTACAACCAATTTACAGTTAATTAATTACAATGAAGTAGTTTAAATGTATATACAGAGTTCAGTTTAGTAAGGTGCAGTTAAGCACATTTAGTTAAAAGGTAAATAAATGTTCAGGTAATAAAGTTCTGATAAGTACAGTTAAAATACATAGAGTTACAGTTAAATACATTCAGTTTAAATTAAGTTAAATAAAATTTAGCAAATTACATTTAGATACATTTAATTTAAGACTGGTGACAAGACAATAACTTTAGTTCAAACCTCACCTGTATGAACTATCAGGTAGTAGTTTAGAGTTGGTACCACAGAGTACTACATGGTACTAGTGTAGTGTACTACTTGTAGTATTACAGGTATTACTAACCTGTATTGAGTACATGATGATCTGAAAACATCGAACAGCAAAACTTCGTCCTTCCCAAAGACCGTGACTGTCCAGGTGCCTGAAAACACACGGAGAGTAAAACACACTGTGTATGAACTGAAAACACAACTGAAGCAGCTGCTACTGCAACAACTACTGCTGCTACTGCGTCTACAACAGGTACTACCACAACAACTACTGCTGCTACTGCGTCTACAACAGGTACTACCACAACTACTACTGCTGCTACTGCGTCTACAACAGGTACTACTGCTGCTACTGCGTCTACAACAGGTACTACCACAACTACTACTGCTGCTACTGCGTCTACAACAGGTACTACCACAACAACTACTGCTAATACTGCGTCTACAACAGGTACTACCACAACTACTACTGCTGCTACTGCGTCTACAACAGGTACTACCACAACAACTACTGCTAATACTGCGTCTACAACAGGTACTACCACAACTACTACTGCTACTACTGCGTCTACAACAGGTACTACCACAACTACTACTGCTGCTACTGCGTCTACAACAGGTACTACCACAACAACTACTGCTAATACTGCGTCTACAACAGGTACTACCACAACTACTACTGCTGCTACTGCGTCTACAGCAGGTACTACCACAACTACTCCTGCTGCTACTGCGTCTACAGCAGGTACTACCACAACTACTCCTGCTGCTACTGCGTCTACAGCAGGTACTACCACAACTACTCCTGCTGCTACTGCGTCTACAGCAGGTACTACCACAACTACTACTGCTGCTACTGCGTCTACAACAGGTACTACTGCTGCTACTGCATCTACAACAGGTACTACCACAACAACTACTGCTGCTACTGCGTCTACAACAGGTACTACCACAACTACTACTGCTACTACTGCGTCTACAACAGGTACTACCACAACAACTACTGCTGCTACTGCGTCTACAACAGGTACTACCACAACTACTACTGCTACTACTGCGTCTACAACAGGTACTACCACAACAACTACTGCTGCTACTGCAACCACAGTAGTTTGTGTGTATCTTACATGAGCACAGGTCTGATAGCGTTGGTAATGTGTCCATAAGCAGCTCGGCCCAACAGCTCTCTGAAACACACCTCAGTCTGCTCTGCTGGAGACTCACTACACACACACACACACACACACACACACACACACACACACGTTACAATATTTTGAGTTTTTAAAAAAAAAAAAAATCATAACATTTCATCTGTAGTGTGTGTGTGTGTGTGTGTGTGTGTGTGTGTGTGTGTGTGTGTGTGTGTGTGTGTGTGTGTTTACCTGTTGGTGTGTGTGTGCTGCTGCAGGTTGACCAGCAGGGCGGGAACAATCTGCTCCATGTGACGAGGCTCCCAAATGTTCACCTGTAGCTCGTCGTCCACCGTCTTCCTGACCACGCCCTGCAGACCGCGGATCCCTGCCACACGGATCCTAAACACACACACACACACACACGCACACACACATTCAGAGGTTACGTCATCACTAACTGGACGGTCAGTTACTGCGTCCCTATTGGTCAACGGCAGCAGGTGTGACAGTATCATCACAGGTAGGAGGCTCTGTGATGACGGACAGAAACAGACGCACTTGTTCTGGATGTCGGCGTCATCGTGTTCGGAGTGACACATCTCACTGAAGCGCGACACGAAGAAGTCGTAGCTGCGATGATACGACGGCGTGTCCTCCTCGATGTTCGCAAACTTCACAAACTACACAAAGAGACACAAAAGCCTCTGGTGACTGTGACAGAGCTGAAAACAACTCAACAAAGACACGACAACATCTGCAGTAAAAGAAGAACTCAGGGACGTACATCAACGTTTCCAGCAGAGATAAACCTGCTGTGACACACCCTGATAATCCCTGTGTGTGTGTGTGTGTGTGTGTGTGTAATATACTGCACATCTTCCAAGGGTAAATACAAATATCAAGGCTTAAAGATTACATAAATACGTGTAGGACACGAGCGTGATCTGTCAGCTCTACTCTAACGCTCACTCAGCCCTCTGCTCGTTCACACTTCCATAATGTTTTTATACATTCGTTATAATTCCTGTTGACAGTTAAAATTCAGTCTCTGAGGTGAAATCTAATGTTTGTTTGAAGATAAATCTGAATACAAGATAAATACATGTTTTATTGGACAGTTTAAAAACCTGATATTCCTAATAAAGTTCCAGCTGTATTTCCTCCTTTGCTCTGTCATTATTGGATGTTGTCAGTTCAGCAGTGTGTTGCCGTCCAGCTGTATCGTGTGTTGTGTGTGTGTGACGTACAGAGTTGGTGGCCAGGATGTGGAGGTGTGGTTTGTCGGCCTCCAGCAGCAGACGCAGCGTACTGAGGAAACTCTCCACCAGCAGGTTGATGCTCTGACAGTGACAGGCCAGCAGCAGCTGCTCCAGCGCCTCCATCGCGATACACACATACCTGAAACACAGGTAACTGCCTACATGTTCACTCACGTACAGATCTGAGTCTCTTCATGCCACTTCAATTCTTCAGTTTTTATCTGACAGTTTGAAACTTTACAAGTTCATATTTGATAATATTGTTATTATTGCTGTTAATTTTATTGTATATATTTATCATATATATTTTTAGTTTTTCATCATTTTTATGTAGTTTATTTTCTTGTATGTTCATTTTATATTTGTATTATTTTGTGATATTTCTACACACTCTCTCTGCACCGTATGCTGTTCGTTTTCGTTCTTATTTTCTGTGTATTTATAAACCAAAAAAAAACTACTTGAATAAGTTTAATTTATTTTAATAATGTCGAGGTTTTGACGGTTGGTTGGACAAACATTATGAAGGTTTCACAATGGGGCGACTGTGACGTCGTTTCTCACTATCTTCTGATTTGAAATGATCAACTGATGGAACAAGATTCATAAATAAAATGATCATTAGTTGCTATAAAATAGTTAAAACTCAACATCAAACAACTACAACAGTAAAATCCTGCTTTTATATTAATGATAATCTAGTGATAAAACACTCACAGTACTTTTACCTTTAATACTTTAAGTACATTTTCCTGATGGTATTTAGTTACTGTGGCACTTTCACTTTTTGCACTTTGTGTTGTAGATTTAATTGTAAACGGATAAAAATAATAAAGACAAATTATTAAAAATCAAGAACTGAAATCTCTCAGTATTCAGTAGTATTCAGGCCTAAATTCACATTGCAGTATTACTACTTTTACTGAAGTACAAGGGCTGAGTACTTCCTCCACCACAGCTGAAACACCATCACACTCATGTCACAATGGATGTAGATTTTGTGTGTGTTGTTGCTGTTGTGTATCAGTGTGTATTTGTGTGTGCACTGACCCGTAGCGGTGGCGGTTCAGCTCCCTGGTCAGGCGCTCTGACAGGTACGCTGCAATGCGGTCCAGTTTCTCCGGCGCCGACAGAGCAAAGAACGTCAGCTTCTCCATGTTGGCTTTCACCAGCCCATCCTGAACACCAACATGTTTTGTTAATATTAAAACATTCATAAATATTAATGCAAGAAATAGTAAATACATGGAGGGGAAAAGAAAAGTTAAAATACAAGAGTAGACATTAAGGTGCATCATGATAAAGCAAAGTTAATTTAGTTTTTCTGCAGACAAACAAAAGAAATCAACAACATAAGACTAACAGCCTGTGTGTCCTTCTATTAAAGGGTCAGTTCATCCAAATCACTAAAAAAAACATTCAAATCAGATTTTCTTCTGTTATTTATCCACACAGACAGTTTTGGTTTAATTTGTCTCCTTCCTGAAACAATAATCAGACTCACGTGCAGATAAAAACCCAGACAAATACACCTGTGCTACCTGCATGTACAGATACCACTACCAATAGAGGAAAGTCATTTGGATGAACTGACCCTTTAATGGAATGAGACAGTAAAGACACAGAATATGAGTGTGTGTTTACCTCTGGGTCTTCTGGGAAAATATTGTCCACCAGTCTCTTGTAGCGAGGACGCAGCGCCCAGCAGCAGCCACACAGACCTGAACACAGAGTTGACGGGTCAGTGCAAGAATTACAAGAATATTTTTGAAGACATGGGTTCAACATGTGTCATGTGTCTCTGGAGAGAGAAGGATGAGGTCATGGAACAGACAACAACCAGCAACTGGAATTTTATTCAGAGAGGATTTTTAATTTGAGGTTTTGATTTCTAAATTCCAAATTGTGGCCATTAATAAATAAATGAATAAATGAACGTTACAGCCACACGGGGGCGGTAGAGTGTCTGTCGAGTTTGACCTTGTTTCTTCTTTCATTTTTCATCTCTCTCTATGTTCAGTTTAATAGATTCTGGGAGATTAAAGGAGACAAGAGATCCACCACTGGTCAACTGCAACACACACACACACACACACACACACACTACAATGTATTAGTAATACTACATCTTAAGCGTTAATCCTGCGGTGGCTTGTTGCATAATGTGTTTATATTGTTGTTTTTTAGTTAGCGCAGCTTAAAGAGTCCTCGCTGTCACTGCAAGGACACAGGTTCAATCCCCAAACTGTGACATGTGACATGTCGGAGTGTTGCTGAGCAAGGCACTGAGCTGATAACTGAAGACTTGTCTGACATCATGAGAAATCCTCTTGTTCCGTCTCCCACAGGAGTCCAGATGTGTTTATCGAACCGTATTTAACTTATATTTATTATAACAAAATGTTAATGTAAAGATTAAAATCACCTTAATTTTTTGTTGGTTTTTAACTTGATGCCTCAAGATTTAGTTTTACCTTAAAGCCATAAATTTGATTTATTTCATAATTTTGACTTTAAAAGTTTTATGTACAACTTTTCATTCTTTCTTGAGCATTTTTAATACTCAATATATTGTGGCGCAGAACCCAAATTTGTAGTTAATCAATCAATAATTAATGGGTTCTAATAGCATGTAGGGGATTAAATGTGATTTCTGCTTGGATTAGTATCAAAAGACGTCCTGAATTTTTTACTTGACTGAAAAATATTATTTTTATATATATGTATATATATATATATATATATATGTTTTTACTTTTGTGATGCAGTTGAAAACAAACAAAACAAATTTGTTTACCCCTTAAAACCCCCTTAAACTTAATGGGGAACACATTCAAAATACCTTAAAATAGTAAAATTAATGAATTATCTTTTTAAAATTTGATGAAAAATACCTTCACATCATAGTTCACAGGTGAATTAATGGTGTGAGGACTGGATTTTTTTAGATGAACTGTTTTAGATTTTATATTTATTCGTTTTCAACACCTGCTCAATAAACAAAACAACACATGGAATCAGATTTATCTGCAGCTGAACATCACGTCAAAGGAAATTCATAAATACTTTATTCATAACTGGTTAAATCTAAACTGCAAACGAAGCATCACAACATTCAGATGAGTGAAGAAGAAAAATCTAATAAATATTAAAATATTTCTCACCGTACATGAAGACGACTCCTTCAGCTCACAGACACAGTCTCCTCCATCACACACACGCTTGTAGTTAATCCTTCACACACACACACACACACACACTGAACCCGCCTCCTTTCATTCACCATCATCACTGTCAGTTAAAAAACTCATATCTCCACATTCAGTGCCTGATTTAAACATGAAAACGTTTTCACGTCACGTCTGTTTGTTTTAGTTGGAGATTTTAAAAAAATCCCATTTTGCAGGTTTCAGGTTTCGTGTTTTCATGTTTTTCATGTTTTTTTAATGAGTCGTGTTTGTTGTCCTTAAAACAGAATAAACAGATTTAATACAGAGTAGTATTAATATTCTGTCCAGCTCTTAACCATGAAAGATTTTCCTGTGTGTGTGTGAGATCCAGGCCATGTGCAGCAGCTCAGCGCTCTATAATCTGCTCTGGATTTATTTATCATTCCAGCAGAAACAGAAAAAAATCAGATCAGAAACCTGCAGAACTGGAGCTGAAAACACAGAACTGACACTGCAGGACTGAACTCAGTGAAACCCTCCTGTGTTTCACTACATCACTACAACCCAGAGCGAGAATTAATGCTGTTACAGTTTAAACTGATACATTAATAAACAGTTAACAGTACCTTGCTGTTGTAGCTGTTTGAGGTGGAGCTAATTTTAATGTAAATAATGATTATTTTAATTACGAATGAATCTGCTGATAATTAACTACAGTCCAATCTGTTTACGTGTAAACAGATTTAAACATTTCTTTCACATGGCCAACATGTAGAGAGGAAATACTAGCACTTGTCTCTAGATGATATGTAAATAAATGGTTATGTTATGTATATATGTTAGGATAAATAAAACATGATCAGTGCATTGATCAGTGTATTCATTGATCAATAGACGGACTCCGGAGGGTTCATTAAAAATAAGAAAATCAATCAAAATCTCCAGCTAACTGATCACAGTTAGTAACTTGTTACCTCCAGGTGTCTGATGGTCCAGCACGGAGCAGCAGTCCTGCAGCAGCCTCCGATGAGCCTGGGTTACGGTTGGCATGGCAACGGCCCTGGGCAGCGACATACCCCTGGGCAAGCTGGGTATGGTCACGCCTCGTGGCATGCTGGGTAAACTGGGTAAAGTGGGCAGACTGGGCATGGTGATGCCTCTGGGTAAAGTGGGAGGGTTGATGCCCCGGGGCAGGGAGCTGAGCAAGGCGGGCATTGTGGGAAACCTGGGCAGAGTCCCCGTCATCGCCGTGGTCGACCTGGAAGGAGGAGAAGGCGTCCTGAGGAAGAGGAGGATGAGACGGAGGGATGGAGAAAGTGAGCGGAGGTAGAGTAACTGGATTGAAATGAAAAAAGCCTCGTGCCTCCACCTCCTGCCTCCCCACATTCCTCTGGATCTTAACCCCTTCACTTCAACTCCTGCTGCTCTGCAGACCAAAATAAAGTTTCTTCATGTGAAGCACAAAGTCTTCAGCAAGTCAGAAAATGGAAAATAATGACAGAGATCCGACGATGAAAAACAAAACAAACAGCATTAGTAGCTGCAGTCACGACCTTGATGACGGGACACCAGAGTTATCCTGCAGAGAGATTCAGTCCATTTCACAGGACTGAGCCTCTCCACCCACATCACACGTATCAACCACATCAATTAACCTATTTCATAAGCTGCTGAGAACAACCTTTATTATATATTCATATATTACGTACTGATGTACAATATATTATATATTTCATCTCATTTTCTAAAAATCTAAATGTCATTTCATCCCTCTGCCAGGAATAAATTCTGGTGGGACATTTGTTAAATATATACTTGCATATACAAAATGTTAAATTTCAGGAAACATATTATTGGTATCCACATTTTCAAAAACCTCTTTGTGCAACAATTCCCTGAAAAAACACTGTAATACTATGAGATATAAAATAATAAAGATCTAGGAAATCATTAAGTAGAAAAGTAAAACAAAATATATAAATATATAAATATTCAGAGCCTTTACTTTAGTAAAACACCGTGAATATTATCAGTAAAATGTTCCTCAGTATCAAATATAAAAGTATGACTGATGCAGAATGCATGTCATGTGTACTTACGTTGGGTAGTTCAATCTATCATCATGATCTTCCTTAAACTGATCACACACTGCGACAGGGTCCTAATGAAATGAAATAAAATATTTACCTGTCCTGTAAAACACTCCGACCTCCTCGTCTCCACCGCTGCTCTCTTCCAGTTATTTCCCTCTGACAGACCAACAGCTGCTTATGTAACATCTGCTGAGCCTCAGCTGGCCGCGCGGCTCAGATCAATAATCAATGAGTGTGATCGATCGGCTTTGCTCTGTGCGCTGGACCGTCTCTGACACCAGCGCACGTGTGGCAGCCGTGTTACCAAAAACTTTGTTTGCATCTGTGCTTTCAGCTGCAGGATCATCCCACTGTTTTCAAACAGGAACATTTAACATTATATGAACATTTCAAATGTTACTGATGAAATATTAAACTTTTCATCCAGTTTGAAACTTTAATGAGTAAAAAAACATCAGTGTACAGTGTGAGCTCAAACATTTTATACACGTTATAATATGTGACTACCTTTTTCAAAACAAAGATCATCCACACAGGCTGCACAAAGCACAAAAACAAGCGCACCCTCCCCTCCCTCTGTCCTAGGTAAAAACATCTCTTCAATCAAACAGCTGCTGTGGTGAAGGAGAAGCTCCCCCTGCTGTTTGATGCTGGTTACTGCAGTGACAACTCTAAACAGCCATGTCGAGTTGAGTCATTGTCTGATCCCTACCTGTAGGAGTTTTACCTGCCGACAGATGTTCTCTCTCTGCCGGATGTCTGTTAGAATTCAGTTTAATCCAGCTCAACAAAAAAAAACCACGAGGGTCCAAACATCTGATCAACTCCAGAGGTGAGCTGAGGAAGCAAAGAGCACTGAGTGTTCACAGGTGTGAACAGGTGAATCCAGTGAAGGTTCAGGTATGTTCTGTGGACGGACACTAGATGGCAGCATGAATCATGGACAGTAAAGTTATGTCATATCTTTACATCAGCTATAATGGATGTTTTTTATAATACTGACGTATGAAATGACATTCTGACATAAAGAGGTTGAATGTGATGAACAGTTCGCAGCATGTGAATAAAAACCGCTGAGTCCGTCTGTGGTTTGTTTTTTGTGGTTGCTTCCTCCAGCACACACCTTTACCTTCCTCTGCCACATTTCACATTTGATCCTTTGACGTTTTGGACGTCAGAAACACTTTCAGCTGGAAAAGTGACATTAACGACAATAAACATGACGCTTCAACACTGTCACAGCTCTGACTGACCACAAAGAACCAGGTGGCTGAACTCAGATCAGTGAGTCTTCAGGTTAAAGGTTTAATCCGTCCACCTCAGTGAGTTTGCTGACCTCCGCTGACCCTCCTACAAACAGTCCTCCAAGCTCCGCCTCCAGATCCTGCAGGTGGGCGGGGGTAAATACGTCAACTGGCTCTCCCAGCGTCCTCCACCAAGGCAGCCGGCTCGCCTGCAGCCTTGCGTTGTGGGCGTCACGGGCACGAGCGGCGACGGGACCCGAGAGGCTCAGGAAGGATTCGGCATCTGTCGCCGTGACAACAGAGAGGGGCGGAGCATCTGTGGATTGGTTAAAGGTTGAGGTTATCGTCACTCTCTCTCTACAGTCGTCAGTAAAAAATAATGTTTCGTAAAGAGGAGGTGTGTGTTTGTGTCCAGACCTCTGAGCAGCTCCAGCTGAGTGTGTGTGTGAGCCAGCAGCGCCTCCATCCTCTGCTCCTCCCTCCTCCGCTGCTCTCCTCTCTGCAGCTCCGACAGCAGCAGCAGCTGCACCTCCTCGTGGAGACGCTGACACTCCTCAGGAGACACATGCGACGACTGCAGACAGAGGACAGAGAGACGGTGATGACGGCGAAGCATCAGGAGATAAAACATCAAGTATGAACTGAGCGTCTTACAGGATGCGCAGCGATGTAGTCCTCCAACTGTGTCTTCAGCTCCGCCCTCCTGCTGTCCGTCAAACCTTTCTGACCAATCCAGAAAGGTGCGACGGGCGGGGCCTTCGCTTCCCGTCGTTCCTGCAGAAAGTGACGCACCTGAAAGAGGGAGGAGTCGACGACACGTGTCAGGTGTTTGATTCTCTGTGAGAGAGTGGGCTTGTATTGCTTTCTTTATTTAACTATAAGAGTGAGGACATTTTCCCTGATGCTCACTATGGTAATGAACTGTGAGGTTCAGGTTCGGGGGGGGGGGTTTGACCGTACTGGCACAGATATAGGACGATCTTTCTGAGGACAGGAGAGAGCTTCACTCCTTTTCTCTGGTGTCAGTGAAACATGAAATACAGTCGTACATAAACCCACATCAGAGGATCTTCACTCTCTCTCCTGTCAGACCGCTGAAGCGTCACAATCATTTTCTCTGATAGTATTTTTCAGACTTCAGTGTTTCTGAGCTCTTCGTCTGTCTCAGCTGTGACTCTCGGCCGTGTGACACATTTTCTCTCCGATTCATTTCTGCTGTAAAGACGTCGGCGGATGCTGTGAACCCGTTTTCACTGGTCATGAATTTATTTAAAACCTGTCACAGCATCCTTCAGAAACTCCTGCAGGTTAAACTACTGCTGTAAACGTTAGCCTAGCAACATTAAAGCTACAAACAACCCATAATGCATCAGTCTCTATAGAACACTGATAGACAGAAGTCTCGTCCTTGAAAATAAGACGACCCAGACTTCTTCAAACCTCATCCCCAGTAAAAAATATCATCTTATATTCAGGCCAGTACGGTAGCAGATGGTTGATGTTGGGCTTGGGGATTGGAGAAAGCATCATGTCAGTGAGCATCGTCCTGAGTGTGTACCGCTCTCTGCAGCGTCCTGGCGGCTTGCTGCTGTGAGCGTGTGTGTCTCAGTGTGTTCCGGTGTGTGTTGTTGTAGCGGCGTCGCTCTCTGAAGCCTCTCCAGAAGCTCTGGATCACCACGGCTGCACGACGCTCACACTCCTGCAGATACGACTGCACCTGGTCTGAAAACACAAACACACACACTGGGCTGTTTTTACACTGAAACTCTCACAACTACTGGACTCGTGATCGCACCACGATCACTTGGACATTAACTTAGATTGCAAACTATAGAGGGTACAAAGAGGCGACAGCATCTCTCCTCCGTCTGACATTTCAGAGATTAATTGAAAAGATTCTCTCTTTTTTGACCTGTATAAACAAAGATTTCTTCTTCCACTCTGACAAAACAAGTAGTAGCTGATCTGAGGAGAAAGAAAAATACTGCTGCTTTTCTGGAGAATGAACGTGTTTCAAGATGCAGCTGCTGGTGTGTAGGACTTCACACAGAAAACAACAGGAGTGGGTGTTTTGACGCGCTTGTTGTCAGTTTGCTTTGAGAAGAGAAAACTCGACTCCCATTGAAAATGAATATGATAATGAACCAGGTTTCACCACACACAGACTTAAACTGTCGCTAGTGCAAACAAAGCTAATGTGGCGACTTCAGGAAACAAAGGAAAAGTCGTTGAGAGGCTGAGGTCAGGCCTGGTTTGATTTCTCTACTAAAAAGATTCCCTTCCACTCCAAAATGTTTTTTAACAAAACCAAACTCAAATGTTCGTGCTTTTCTTTGTCTAATACGGACTCCTGATCTGAGGACGAAGACTAAATGTGGAGTGTGAGTATTTACCAGGAGGAAGCAGCTGCAGCAGTTGTCTCTGCTTTTGGTGGAACGCCCTCCTCGCCTGCTGACGTCTCACACACACCTGAAACACACACACATTTTACATGCTGTATGCAAATATTTAAAGAGATTATGAATAATCTTTGACACTCATGGGAAGAGAACTGCAACATAAAAATCACATAATTCATCCATCACACTGTAATGTTTGCACATGTCCACAGCTCTTATTCACTTTGTCTGCATCCTGTCAGACCAGGTCAGTCGGGCTTTGGTCTTACCTGGTACTTCAACTCCTCCTCCCACTGCTGGGCCTGCTTCTGTTGCTGCTGCTGCCTCCTCCGAGCCCTGACACACACACACACACACACACACACACACACACACACACACACACACACACACACACACACAAAAGTTAAACCTAATTTTATTGTGTGGAGTACAAGAACTATATATTACCTCAAATCTGTACTTTAGTCGAGTACTTTCTTTCTTAATTGATTAATCTGCCAATTTTTTTCTTGATTAATCTGTTAATCAATCATTTGGTGTATTTAACATCAGAAAACAGTTCAAAATGAATCACAGTATAAGGTTGGTCACATTTGAGAAGATTAAAGAAGTTAAAAAATGATTTAAACACTAAATTACTCATGAAAATAGTTTGAGTTTGAGTTTTACCAGAATGTTCAGTCTCAGATAGAAAAATGTTGAACTTGTCCTTTAAGGTTAATTATGGTGCAGCTGACTGCAGCTCAGTCAGGTACCTGTATCTCCTCTGCAGCGTGCTCACAGCTCTGCTCAGACTCTTCACTCTGCGCCTGGTCCGATACGACCTCCAGGCCGCCTGGATCACACACGCCGCCCGCACATGCTCAGTACTCACCTACACACACACAGAGAGAGACAGAGAGAGAGAGAGAGAGAGAGAGAGAGAGAGAGAGAGAGAGAGAGAGAGAGAGAGAGAGAGGGGTCAGACGTCAACAGACAGAAAGACAGACAGAGGAAACATCCCAGGTGCATCCATGTTTCCCTCACCTGCGTCTTTGCCTTCCTCCATCCCACTGAAGATTAGAAGAGAGGAAACGAGGAAACAATGAAACGTCCTTTTGTCAAAACCGTCATCTGAAGCCAGGTCTGTCTGTGATGACGACACAGCTGGATAACAGCTGGATCAGTATGTATTATTGTATAATGTCATAATATAAAAAGAATAAACACTTTAAAAATTACAAAAAAAAAGAAACAGGTGGCTTCAGATGAGGAAAGGATGTCTCATTTCTCTACTGTTTCCTTGTTTCCTCTGTCCTTGCATCTCAGGTGGGACGGACTAAGACTCAAGGAAAAGACAGAGATGTATCCAGACGCACCTGAGAGGGACTCATGGTGCTTCTGTCTGATTGGATGAGTGCAATCAGCTGATCCACGTCCTGGTCAAAGCCCTGCCCCCTCCAGTCTTTGTCCAGCAGGTTGTCCAGACCTGCAGAGAGAGGAGGACAGTGACCTCTGACCTCTCAGTACATTTGACTGAACAGTCCGCCATGCTGCAGTGAGGCAGGTTTCAGCTTATACTATGTGTGAACTCTGACCTCTGAAGCTGAGGAGGAGGGGCTGAAGGCGGAGCTGCAGCTGATTGGCCATGAGGAGGATGAGCATGACGGAGGCCCTGCCCACCGCGGAGTCTGAGCTGACAGCTAATTGGCCGACAGCCTCGTTAAGCAGCAACAGGACGGAGTCATCACTCAACCTGGACAGGAAGTCCCTGCAGAGAGAGTATTGTTTTGAATTTGCTTTATTGGCATGACATGGAAAGACAAGTTTTATAAAGAGTTTATTAAAAAAAACTGAAACCTTCTAGTTTGAAGTTGGATCACATGACCTGAACTGTCTGGTTAAAGTGAAACTTTTAAGGACGTTACTTTTCAAACACTCTGACCTTGTTCAAGCTTGATTACTCTGCTGGGAATCAGATATTACATTACAGAATCCCTACAGTATCTTTGTGTGTTGTGTTCCTGTGTGTTCCTGTGTGTTACCTGCTGGCTGTGCAGGTTTGAATCCACAGCTGGACACACAGCAGAGACACAGTCGCTTCATCACACATCTGGATCCGCTCATAGTGGACAGAGCTGAGAACTGGAGAAACAAACAGACAGTTTTTCTTCTTAAAGATCTGATTTGACCAGAAACTAATAATATCACAGGACTCTTCCAAAAACAGACCAAACTAATCAACTATGAGTGAGATGACTGACCCTGTGTGGTGAGCTGTGTGTGGGCTCTGAGCAGCCAGCTGACTGAATCCATCACCTTCCTGAACAGAGACGAACTCTGACAGACACAGAGAAATAAATCTAGTTTGACTTCAGAAAGTTCAACTGTAAAAGTTAAAAATTATGGAGGAATATGTTGAAGTTATAAAGACAGGCAGGAACGTCTCGTCTCACCTCTGCCCGCCTCATTAGCTGGCTGGCCAATGACAGGAGGCTGTCTATGACTGACGGCAGGAACAGCCTATGAAAGGCCTTCGAATGTTTACCGGGGTCAACCCCAACACAGCAGGAACTGAGAGGACAGACAATATTCTTAATTAAAATACTGTAAAAAAAACAAACAAAAAACTTTCAAATATTTTAAACAAATACTCTGTCTTGATTTAAAATACTGTAGTGTAAACTAAAAATATTTAAATATTTTATAAATTAGAATACTGTACACTTAAACTTGTGAAACTAAACCATATTATTCTAACATTTTCTTCATTAAAAAAAAATTTAAATACTGATACTGATAATTTAATAAATATCTCTTAAGATTTAAAATTATTTTTAACAAACTGAAGATGATTCAGACGTTCCTTCCTAGTAAATAAATTACAGATAAAATGACAGTATGTCTGTACTCTGAGACATACCTGGTGAGCTGGGCGAGTGTGGCGGCGGCGGCGGTCCAGTTGCCCCTCAGTCTTATGGGATCCAGAGAGAGGGCGTGTACACACTGACTCAAGACGCCAGTGTGATACAACTGAGACTTCACACGAGTCAACACACTGCTGTCGGTCTGCGTGGCCGCCACGTTCAGAGCCTCTGACAGAGACACAGCAACACAAAGATTAACAGATATCTCTATTAAACTGCAAATAAGAAATAAAGATATGTGTGTCGTTGATATGTTATTCTAAATTGAATATTTTGGGGTTTTGGACTATTAATTGGACAAAACCAGCCATTTGAAGATTTCAAATTTAATTTCAAGATGCAACTTTTTCTTCTTGTATTTTATAAACAAAGTGATTAATCAAGTACATAAACAGGAGATTAACTGAGTTGCAAAGGCGAGTGGCAGACAGGTATTACAGTCTGTGTTTTCAGGCTTCACCGAGTTAAATTTAAGAATTTTTAAGATAATTTTGCATATAACAATGACAGTGATGAAGCTGGTTGTCTCACTGTTAATGCCGTTATTCAGCAGGTTGATTTTCTGCTCCGGGTTCAGGTCTTCATCCTCCAGCTGCTTCTTCAGCTCCGACACCACAGCCTCCTCCACTGACTCCATCCTCACTGCACCGCCTTTCACTGTCTGGTTAACCCACAAAAACACAAACACTGACGTCAGAATGCATGTAAAAGGGTTTTAGATGAAATTCTGCAACTTGTCAAATTCTGTGACCATTTCTTCTAAAGCTCTATTGTTTTTAACACTGTATTTTAGTCACTTCACCAAAAAGTGTCAGCTCTGCAGGATTTAAACAGTCACAAATAGCTGTTAACCAAACGATATGACTTCATATTATTCACATATTCTGTCTCTTATTATACCTACGGGTATATGTAAGTGTTACAGGTGTGTCTGTGGAGCACTGACACCTCACCTGTCCAGTTTCCTTTAGCTTCTCCTCCGCTGTCACAGAATCTGAAGAGTCACAGATTGTAGCTCAACACCTGTTAGCACGACTCGGAGCCGAACACGAGTCTTGTTGTTTGTGGTTTTAGCCAACAGTTAGAAAACATTCACTGTGACAAAAAGTGACGTTGACCGGTTAAACAAACCGTCCGTTGACTTATTCATGTTTGAACGTTAGTTTACAGACGCTACGGAGCTGCAAAAATAACGTTTTATCCAGCTAGCACAGTTAGCTTTTAGCAGCCGAGCGAGGGGCGACGCGCTTCTGTTTCTACGGCAACATGACGTCAAGACGCTGCGAGGACGCACACCCCTCTGCACCAAATCAGACCAAAAAAATCTATCTCTCTACAAAAAACATAGATTTTAAAATGCAGATGGAATAATAGTAACATAATAAATGAAATAACAAATAATTAAGATTAAAAAAAGATTACATAGAAAGCATAAAATCGGTAAGACATTATAAATGTTAATAAATCATTAATAAATGTTCTACAATAATCCATACAGTCTGCGTTTGTAAATGTTAATAATCAGTTTATAAACGGAGCTTTATCAGAATGTGACATTACGATTTGCTTCTGTTTGTGAGGGCATTTTGTGTGAAATATTGTAAGATAAGTGTTTAGATAAAATAAGTAAAGTGTGTAGTGTAAAGGGTTAACTCCTTGTCTCTACGGTGTCCTGTGTTAGTAGGTTGCTGTGTGCTGATCTGGTCTCTGGGTGGCGCTTTGGCTTCAGCTGAATGAGTAAATCACAAAACAGCAGCAGCTTCATTCAGCGGATAATACACGTTTTTGTGCTCATCCTTTGATGCTCTTCTGAAGTCTTTATTTAGACTAAGATACTCTTGTTACTGATCACTGTATTTATACCTTGAATTGTGGCATTTTCCTTCTTATTCTTTCTCTTACAAGAAAATCAAATACAACTTGAAATATTAGTTGAATCTTATATTAATCTTTCATTCGTAAGTGTTGTAATTTAGTGTATTTTGAGATGGGTATTGTATTTGTAACTCTTTGCATTGAATGTGCTACTTAAATAAAGTGTTATTATTACTTTTATTTAAATTTGGATTCTACTGTCCGTTAATAAAGGATTTATATGTGAAATAGAACACAATATAATATAATATAATATAAAAAGGATAGAATCATAAAAATTATAATTAACATAAAATAATTGAGATGCTTCTCGCAGCTGATCACGTCAGAATCCGTCATGTTAACGGGACCAGTGGTAATAGTAACTGTACCGACAGTAACAGAAACGTTATAGTAACGGGGAGAGGCGGAGTGTGTGTGTGTGTGTGTGTGTTAATCGGTGCAGCAGCTGCTGCAGCCCTCGTGCACAGCGCCCCTCTCTCCGCGGTGCGCCTGCGTGCACAAACACACCGACCGACCGCTGCCTGGACCGGCAGGAGGAGAGAGGGAGAGGGGTACCGGGGCTACGGTAACGGTATCTGCAGCCAGTAACGGTAACGGTACCAGTAACGGTGACGTGATGTGATGCGATGCCGCGCGGGATCACGGTAACGTAAGAGCAGCAGCAGCAGCATCGGAGGAGGAGGAGGAGGAGGAGGAGGAGGAGGACTGTCGAGGCTGAGCCGAGGAGGATGCAGCAGTGATAGGTACCGGGAGGAAGGGAACACATCCGTCCGTCCAACGGTGCGACCGACCACCCGCCCGCCGGCCTGCCCGGGAGCCTGGACCGATCCGATCTGATGTAAACCCGCAGGGATGGACGGGTAGGCAGGGAGGAGGCGCGAGGAGCGGAGCAACCGACGGTACATAACGGAGGAGAGAGCGCGAGGAGGAGGAGGAGGAGGAGGAGGAGGAGGAGGAGGAGGAGGGAGGCGGTGGAGCAGCGCGAGGAGGAGGGAGGATGAATCCGGTGGATGGAGGAGGAGAAGCGGGCCCGGACGGCCTGGCGACGGCAGGTAGGGTGTGAGTGAGTGTGTGTGTGTGTGTGTGTGTGTGTGTAGTGGGAGCTGCTGTCGCCATGATGCCTCCACATCCGCCCATTGACTCAGAGAATGTGTGTGTGTGTGTGTGTGTGTGTGTGTGTGTGTGTGTGTGTGTGTGTGTAAGCTATATGCTATGAATGTGTGTGTGTGTTGGGTGTTAAGTGTGTGTTAGCATCCCTCCGTCCAATGGCACTGAGGTGTGTGTTGGGGGTGGAGGGTCCTACCAAGGAGGATTGTGGGAAGGCCTGCTTGGTTATTAAATGTGTGTGTGTGTGTGTGTGTGTGTGTGTGTGTGTGTGTGTGTTCAGTTAAAATACATTCATTAGCTGCTCAGACTTAGTCACATGACTCTCATGTTCCATTCATCCCAACTGAGGTATCAGTGCAGTATTGGCTCAGTAGTATTTACACCACCACAGAAAATACTGGCTTCTGATTGGCTGATTGGTGTCAATTAAGATCAGCTCATCGTTTTTAATCCTCCAAATTCAGGCCTCAAGGTGCTGTATTAACCTGCGGGTAACCATAGCAACAGAACTGATGTTTCGTCCAACATTACCAGATAACTGACAGGTAAAAACTACAGTCGATTAGTCGGGCGACTGAAAATCAATCGCAAACTGTATTGAGAATCAATCGATCTCCTTCAATGAGAGGATGTGCAGCTTCGATCTATATCTTTGGGTTTTTAGACGGTTGATCACACAGAACAAGAAGTTTGACTGTACAGATATTTCTTTTTGCTGTTTTCTGACAAATTTTAGACCAAATGATTGATTGGTTGATTGACTGAAAGAATAACCGACAGAAGAATCAATGACGTAAATAATGGTTCAGTCGAGGTGCAGCCCTGGAAATATATTTAGCTTTTTGATACCTTCAGTGTTTTTTAAGACTTTAAACGAGCTGCAGATTCTTGGCCTGTAAACTGAAACTAAACAAATCAGATCTAAATTTCTTCAGATATTTATTATATTATTATTATTATTATTATTATTATTATTATGAAAGAGGTGAGGCCATGAATGGTATGACACATGAAAATCTCTCCGATTTGCATTAAAATGTTGACACAATTCTCCATAAACCTGCTGTAAATAACAACGTAAATATAAAGTGAAGTGGGGCCTTTACTATGAAACAGCTGAATGGATTTTACAGTGAAGTAGCTGTGAAGCTTTTACTGTGAAAATAATGTTTATTATTTTATTTTTTTTTGTACTGCAAAACAATTAGGAGGCTTTTATTGTGAAGCAGCTAGAGAGATTGTACTGTGAAGCTGCTGGAGGACTTTTACTGTGAAGTAGCTGAATGGATTTTACTCTGAAGCAGCAGGAGGACTTTTATTGTGAAGCAGCAGGAGGACTTTTATTGTGAAGCAGCTTAGTGTTAAATGATGGGTGTCTTTTTTTTTACTGTGTTCTGGTGAAAGTCTTTACTATGAGGCTTTTACTGTGAATTAGCTGCAGGTACCATATATAGTATATTTACATTTTTCTACATTTTAAGGTTAAAACTGTGACAGTAACCCTCAACATAAGTTCATTATAACCCCTAATATAAACTCATGACACAGTCTGACTCTTTATTTTATGTATTTAATTATTTTTTTTAGATTTATGTTCGTTTTCAAAAAGAAAAGTAGTAATAGTTGTTCAAAAAAATGATTGGCTGAAGAATCCAGTGTCATCGGGGCTCTGACGTCTTCATTTGTAACAGGCTGACATTTTGGGGATTCAGAGGACATTGTGGTGAAATGTATTCATTATTTTTTGTTGTATAATCAGTGTGATGAGTCCTGACAGACTGACAGCAAGTTTCTCTGAAGGCTTTTCATCTGCTCTGCACAGCAGCTATTTTAGGCTTTACACTGACTCAGTGTGTGTGTGTGTGTGTGTGTGTGTGTGTGTGTGTGTGTGTGTGTGTGTGTGTGTGTTATTAGTGTGAGACAGCTTTATCACAATGGAAATCCCTTCTCCAGCTCTCGGTGCTGGTGTGGAGTCGGCTTGACTGACAGCTGGTCTGGAGTCTGTAAACTGACAGCTGGTCTCGGATCAGTCAGTCTGACAGACAGCTGATCAGGGATCAATCAGACACCTAATTGAGTTTTCTGATGATAGCCAGTGTGGAGCAGCATGGCTGATTCAGACACAGTGTCATGTTTACACTCTAACAGACCACAAACACCCACCACTAACTCATTAGTGTGTGCAGGCTGTTAGCTGCTCTCAGACCTGCGAGATATTAACATGAGGTCTACTACTCTAACACCAGTCTGTGGGATTCACACACTCTCTGATTACACAGAAAACACACACTTATCTCTGCCTCCTCTTGTTCAGCAAACTGCTAAGTCACACAGGAAATAGAGGCTGAAGTGAAGCTGGAGTGTGGTGTTTAACTCAGTTATCAGCAGCGATAAGGAACAGCCTGTTCCCATATTTCTTATTGATGATCTATCACTCGTAACATGGAAATAAAATCCGGCTGTAGCCAGGATTGCAGATAATTTACTGATGTCATGAGTCCATCGCTCAGTTTTCAACCAGCCACCAACAAAACTCTGGAAGATTTTTTAGTATTTTCACAAAAATCACAAAAAACTGTTCTTTCATATTTAACATGGCAACTTAACAGCTTTAAAACACCTTCTTTAAACCACCAGGCTGACGATACTGATACGGGATATTAAATCCCATTTCATTTATACAGTTTTTTGTGTAAAGCAGAGGTGAGCAGGGGGATTTACCGTGTACCTACCTACCTAAAAATAGCCACAGATACAGGATCAGTAAACATCTTGCAGACCACACACAATAATGTCCAGTCCTTCATGAGCACTAATCAGTGGGCTGGTGACTCCACCTCTGAACTCAACCTTAACTTTAACCATAACCAGTTGTGTCGTATGAAACAAACTAGACAAACAAGACACAAGTGAAAAAGTAGAAAGACTGACCTGACAGCGACGACGCTGATGACAGGAGCTGGAGGGAGGAGCAGAGGGAGACGATCAGACGAACATAACGTTAGAAAAGAAGCATTTTACTGCTTCGTGTTTTATCAGCTCATCATTTCTTTTGTTTGTAAAATGTCAAACTGTGAAGAAAATAGTGACTGAAGCTGTGAAGTAAATAACGTGGAGAAAAAAGGACATTTACCCTCTAAACTACTGAGAAACATTCAAGTACAAGTCCCTTTAATTTATACTGAATTTATACAGTTCCATTCAACTTTACTTAACATTACCTTCAGATGACAGTGAAGCCACCCACCAAGACACCACTACCATCAAGCTGATGACTGTGCTCCACCCACACTTCAGAAAGCAGCCTTTAGTAGTCGTGCTCTGAAAATGAGCTGAGCAGCAGAAGATATGAAATATTGATTAAATATGTAAATAACAGCTGGAGCATCAGGCTGCAACTAACGAGTTAGAGATGATCAGAATAGTTGCTGATTGCTTTTCTGTTGATCAACAGTTTCCACTAATGATTCATCTGCTGATTGTAAGAGCTCCACTGGAGCGAACTGACTTTTACACTTTATTTTTCACCAGCAACTTGATGCAAATACAAGAGCTTCTGATTCTGATTCTCAGCTTAAAATATTAATATGATAAATATAAAAGTTTAACTTGGAAATTCAGAGTCTCAAGTGTCGAAACAAGATCAACGAAAAACGCGAAAACACAGTGTGACCAAAAACACACATACGTCGCTAACATACGTAGGAGTGTGTAGGAAGACCAAAACGTAACCAGGAAGTGGATGGGGGTGGTCTTTAAAGGGGGAGTGAAATTTGTTGTGACACAGAACGAGGCACAATCATCGTTTGATCTCGATTATCTTGTTTTCATAATCGTTAGAAGCCGAAATCGGGAAAGGAAAATAAAATTTGAGCCTGAGTGGCCTGTTAATGTTGATGTTGAAACAGCCATGCAATTAACAACACAGCTAATGATCATTTACGTTGTCGAATAATTATTTTCTTAATTAATCACTTAGTAAATAAACTGTGAGGAGACAACTTCCTGAAAACCGTTCATACTGTCGTCTGACTGATGATTTGTTGATACAGATTTCAGAGTTAAAACTATATAAAAGAAATGATGATACTGTCTCATGAAAACTTGGATCATAACTTCATGAATTTACAAACAGAACATCAATAAATGCAGATTCAAATAATTCAAAATAAAGAACAATCAACATTCAGACTCTGTGAGGAAGTGATGCTTTCTCTCAGCTTGTTTTTATCATTCCTTCCAAATATTCAGTTCATGGTCGTGTTGCCTGACAGAGCTTTTCTGTACCTGTTTGAGGGAGGTTTCCTTTTCACCACAGCTGGACTGACCTGGTTATGTGCAGATGTGTGTTTTCAGTGCTGTGACACAGTTGAGGAGGGAGTGTCGGGAGGATCTCCTGGTCAGACAGTTAGTCCTGATGAAACAGGCGGTGGATCTGGGTCTGAGGAAGAAAGGATTCAAGGACGGTGATGAAGGAGAACGAGGACAGTGCGAGGAGGGAGTTTAGGCTCCCTTTCACTTCTCCTTCATCTCCTTCCTGTTTTTAGGTTTTCTCTCTGAGGGTTATCGCTGCTCGCCAAGCTGCTAATGTGAGACGTTTAATGCCCTCAGTGTGTGTGTGTGTTGGATTAGCCTCCTCCCGCTGTGCAGGATGATCTGATGCACATGGGAGGCCTGTATGTCTGTCTGCAACACACACACACACACACACACACACACACACACACTGAGCTGCAGGACTCAGCTTTTTAATTGAAACGTCTGTCAGCCCGTTTCTCTGAAGCCTGATTGGCTCCTTTCGGTGGACGGTTGGAAACAGTTTGATGTTGTTCGCTCGGCTTTTTATTCTTACTATTTTAAAACATGACACACACACTGAGAACGAGGCACGGCGGATGAGCGGACGGGCTGTGGCTGCACCCAAAGAGAGACAGAGTTCAGGTTCTCAACACATTAGCAGCGAAGCTCGAGGGATGCCAGCGCCAATCGGTCAGTCGTGGAGCTTCTCTGAAACATCTAGAGCTGAAACAATTTGCTGAGGTGGAGATTTTGACCACGATGGACGAGCGGAGACCGGTCTTGTTTATGTCACGCATGCGCACGTGGGTGACATTGGGTGGGTGACTGACGGACAGCTGGTTGTGAGAACAGAGAAGTGCAAGCTGATGAATGATAAGATGGAAATTTACTTTGCAAATGTTTTATATTTGCATTTAACACATTTGTTAAAATGAAGGATGCAGGAGTTCTGGTTGAGAACAGAGCTGCCGATCGATTAATCTGCTGACTATTGTCTCGATTTATTGATTCATTAATTGGTTTATAAAACATTAGGAAAGAGTTAAAAATCCAAAAATCCTGAAATAAAGTCGCCAAATTGTTTATTACAGCGACCAAACCCAAAGATATCCAGACTCCTGACAGGAGAAGCTCTAACTGCCTGAAAAATAACTTAAACACCGAATCAATCAAAGTAATTTCCAGTTTATTTCTGTTGATGGTCAATTATTTGAGAAATCGCTGCAGCTGTAGATGAGAAACAGTGACTAGAGCTGACAGACGGGTCAATCAATCAGAAAATGAATCAGCTACAACCTTTATAATCTCCTGAGGATTCTCTGCTTCTTCTTCTCTGTTTTATGTCACAGTGAACCGAACAGCTTCGGGTTCAGTCCAAAGACGACGTGTGTCCCTTTGGACTGGGCGTATTTCAGAAGTCATTTCATAAACCAACAGTTCAATCATTTGATCCGAGAAATAACAACAAATTCACTGAGAATGAAAATAAACGTTGCCATGACATTTTACGCAGGTATTCATGTTCATGTTCATGACTTTTCCTAATGTGCTTTTGGCCAATCACAGCCCACGATTAGCAGTGAGATGTTTACATTCTTGCTGCAACAGTTTTAATTGATTAACTGATCGACGGTTGGAATCACTGATCTGAGCTGCAGCTGAAATGTTTGTGTGTAATTTCTCATTGCAGAGAAAAACTGACACGATTTTAGAAACACTGAAGTCACGAGTAAAAACTCCTCCGACAGATCTCCACCCACTGAACTGAAGATTTCTGTGTGTGTGTGTGTGTGTGTGTGTGTGTGTGTGTGTGTGTGTCTCAGGTTCGGGTAAAGCAGAGTGTGTTCGTGCGGTCGATGTCCTGACGGTGCTCAGAGAGAAAGTGGCCTTCGTGTCAGGTAACACACACAAACACCGCTGCAGGTTGCGGCCCACTTTGCTCCTGATGTGACCCACTTTAACTTTAACTGGGATTTTTGTTTTCTCCAGGTGGGCGGGACAAACGAGGCGGACCAATCCTGACCTTCCCCGCCAGGACCAATCATGATCGAATAAAACAGGAGGACCTCAGCCGGCTGGTCACATACCTGTCGACCATACCCAGGTACGCCTGTCTACCTGTCTCTCTCTCAGCGACGTCTTTGGGTTGGACTGACACTACATCTCCCTGTCCACCTGTCTGTCTGCCTCCACCTGTCTGTCTGTCAGTGAGGACGTGCGAGCTCGTGGCTTCACCGTGGTGGTGGACATGCGCGGCAGTAAGTGGGACAGCGTGAAGCCGGTGCTGCGGACGCTGCAGGAGTCGTTTTCCTCCAGCATCCACACGGCGCTGCTCATCAAACCGGACACCTTCTGGCAGAAACACAAGACCAACCTGGGCAGCGCCAAGCTCAGCTTCGAGGTACTACTGCAGTACTACTGCTCCTTACTGCAGTACTAACACTGATAACTAAAGAACTGATAGCTGAAGTACAACTACTACTGATAACTTATGTTCTAATGCTGGAAAGTGCAGTACACCTACAGCTGCTTGCTGAAGTAATTCTATAATACTGCTGAAGTACTGCAGTTCTGCTACTGAAAGCTAAAGCAATAAAAATCTGCATAACTGAAGTACTACTATTAATAACTATGATACTACTACCTGAAGCACTGCTCCTGCTAACAGTAATACTACAACTGCTGCTAACTAATCTTTTACTGCTACTGATTGAAGTACTACTACTGCGACTAACTGAAATGCTATGTCGCTAACTGAAGTACTGCTACCACAGTAATCTGCTGCAGTAAAAGTACTCATCGTGTTGCAGTACTACTGGTCGACTTTTGTGGCAGTACAGTTTTTGCTACTTGAGTTTTAGCGCAGTAGAAGTACAAGACTGTAGTACTTGTAGAAAAAAAACGTAGTAGTAGTATTTGCTGAGAGTAGTATTTATTGTATTGCTGTTGGGGTGTGGTTGTTTTTGAAGTAATACTGCAGTAGTGTTGTATCTGTAGTAACCTGTCTCTGTCTCCAGACCAGCCTGGTGTCGGTGGAGGGTCTGTCCCGGCTCGTCGACCCCTCCCAGCTGACCTCTGACCTGGGCGGCTCGTTGGAGTACGACCACGTGGAGTGGACCGAGCTGCGTCTGGGTCTGGAGGAGTTCTCGGGGGCCGCCACGCAGCTGCTGGCCCAGCTGGAGCAGCTGGAGGTCGGGCTCAACCGCATCCCCGAGCCCCAGGACGTCGACGAGGCCAGAAAGTGAGACAGAGCCTCAGTCATACTTATTGATCGTTAATAGGTTATTGATTGTGTATTAGAACTGTTGATTATATTTACCTCCATGTTTTCCCTCCCCAGACTCCTGGAGGAACACGGTCGTCTCCGTAACACCATCGCCACGGCGCCGGTTGACGCCCTCGACCGAGAGGGGCGCAGTTTGCTCCAGCGTATGCGTCTGGGGCCAGCACATGGCGACGCCTCTAACGAAGGCGGCGGCGGCGGTGGTAGCCACGGCAGCTGGCTGTCGGGCGGGGCAGACTTCCAGAGCGTGGCGCCCAAAGTCTCGTCTCTGCTGGACCGACTGCAGGCGGCTCGCAGCCACCTGCTGCAGAGCTGGAGCGACAGGAAGCTGCACCTGGACCAGGCGCTGCAGCTGCACCTGTTTGAACAGGACGCCACCAAGGTGAGCGGAGGGGTGTGTCTGTAAGTATACCTGTGCAAGGAGTGGGTGGAGTCTAGTTAGGGTGTATCCCACCACCAGCTGATTTATGTGATGCACTCTGAACACCTGAGCTGCTGTCTGACCTGTCTCACTCTTTCTGCCCGTCTCTCTCTCAGATGTCAGAGTGGATCGCCCACAGTAAAGAGCTGTTCACGCAGAGTCTGGCGGAGGTCGGCCAGAACCACCAGCACGCCCTCGACCTCCAGACACAACACCAGCACTTCACCGCCAACTGCATGGTCAGTCTGCGATCCCGCTCTGTGATCGGTGTTAACGAGATTCTTAACGAACCCTTAACGACGTCTCTGAATCTCTCTGAACAGAACGGCAGTGTGAACGTGGATAGTGTGGTTACCGTGGCGGCGAGGCTGGCAGAGGCCGGTCACTACGGGGCGGAGCGGATCGCCATGGTGTCGTCACGGTTACAGGAAGACTGGAAGTCCCTGACGACAGCTCTGGAGGAACGCAGCAACACGCTTGCCATGGCAACTGGCTTCCACCAGGGGGCAGAACAGGTGATTACTACACCTGTTTTCTCTACCTGTCTTTGTGCCTGTCTCACTCTCTATCCATCTTTACTTGTCCACATCCCACCTGGTGTCTACCTGTCTGTCTACCTACATTTACCTATGGTTACTTTACAGGTGTTTTTAATTCTCTACCTACCTGTCTGACTACCTGTCTTCCTGACTGTTGACCCATCTCATCTACCTGTTTACCTGTCAACTTGTATTTTTATTTGTCAACCTGTCTGTCTCCTATTATATCAGTTTTACCCTTGATGTTTTTACGTTACCTGTCTATCTACCTGTCTCACTGTCTGTCTACCTGTCTCTGTCTCCTCCCTCTGTAGAGACTACATTCAATCAGTCAGGTGACGTTCACAGGACTAACCACTGTCTTCATGTCTGTCTCTTTACCTGTCCGTCTCTCTACCTGTCTGTCTCTCTACCTGTCCGTCTGGCTGTTCAGTTTCTGCTCAAGGTGGAGGGTTGGGTTCAGGTGTGCTCTGAAGGGTCGTTGCCGTCGGCAACAGCAGAGCTGGAAGCTGCAATAAAGAAACACCAGGAACTGAATGAGGAGATCTCTGCTAACTACACACAGGTACCTGTCTGTCTGAACACCTGTCTGTCTAAACACCTGTCTGTCTGTACACTCGTCTGTCTGAACACCTGTCTGTCTGAACACCTTTCTATCTTTCTGAACACCTGTCTGTCTGTCTCAACACCTGTCTGTCTGTCTCAACACCTGCCTGTCTATCTCAACACCTGTCTGTCTACAGGTCAGTGAGAGTGGTAAAGCCTTATTGGACGTCCTCCAGCGTTGCCCAGCAACCGACTCTGATGACTCAGCGACCAAACCAGACTTCACCACCGCCACACATGGCATCATGGGAGTTCTGCACCAGGTGATGCAGGTACGACTCACTTTAACCCGTCTCACATCCTTTTGTCTCTCTGTCACTGACCAACAGACAGGCAGGTGGACTAATGTGACGTTTGTTTGTTTTGTTTTTTTGCAGGGTCAACATGAGGTGGAGGGGGCGTGGCAGCACCGTAAGCTCCGCCTCCACCAACGCCTGCAGCTGTGCGTCTTTCAACAAGATGTTAGACAGGTATGACAAATCCAGATCCAGATCCAGACTGAGATTCACAGTAGGGTCCAGATTCATTTTAACGTCTTCACCTGTCTGCCTCTCTGCACCTGTCTGCCTCTCAGGTGTTGGACTGGGTGGAGCAGCATGGTGAGGTGTTCCTGAACAAACACAGCGGCGTGGGGAAGTCTCTGCACCGAGCGCGAGCTCTGCAGAAACGCCACGACGACTTCCAGCAGGTCGCACAGGTAATGCACAAACTTAGTTTACCGTCCCGCCAAAGAAGAAAGCTACGTTGGTGAAATACGAGCGTGAATTTAAGGTTTGGATGATGGTGCCTCAGGACTTGTTTGGAAGACGTGCTGTCTGACCATCGTTCTGAATTCTCATATTTATATTTAAAAACAGGGACAATGACGCATGTTTTCAGACAGTCTCTCATTGAGGACGTTCATGCTGTTTCACTGGTTGTTCACATTAAAAGTGGCACAAATAGTTGCCACTAATTGTGTCCCTGTTGTTTCTCACCTCTCACCTCCAGCCTGAAGTGGGTGTGGATGTCGGATTGTTGGTTTCACCCACTGAGAAAGTGATCTGCCTCCAAAAACTACAACATGTGTTGTTTAAATTTCAACAAAACTCATGATGATTATCGTCCAAAAGACGTGAAAATGCAGAACTTTGTCAAAGAACATCAACATTTCTCCTCACAGCACCGACGTCCTCCAGAGACCTGAGATATGTAACATGTACAGTACTGATCCAAGTACTAACTCAGCACTCACCCAACCAAATGACTGCACTTCTAATGTACCTCTTTATGTGTGTGTGTGTGTGTGTGTGTGTCAGAACACTTACACTAATGCAGAGAAGCTTCTGGAAGCAGCGGATCAGCTGGCTCAATCCGGAGAGTGTGAGGAGGAGGAGATCTACCAGGCAGCCAGAGACCTGGAGCTTCGCATGCAGGTAACTCTGACAGAGAGAGAACAAGTGAATGAGTTTTTGTACATCCATTATACATGAGAAAGTTAATGGCATGATTAAAGTAACGTGTTGTTAACGTGTTGTAACTCTATGTTGTGTATGTAGGCGTTTATCCAGCGAGTGGAACAGAGGAAGCTGCTGCTGGATCTTGCTGTTTCTTTCTACACACACACCAAGGAGGTAACACACACACACGGGTGTAAATACTGTGATGTACTGCAGTACATTATCCTGCAGTATAATGTACTGCAGTATGATGCAGTATAATGTACTGCGTGCTGTGATTTGAGAGATGATGTAATGAATGTGGCTGTGGTCATTATTTATTACCAGATGTGACAACAAGACAAATGGGTCATATTCTTCCTTTTACTTCTCTCCTCCTCCAATCTTTACCTCCTCTCCTCTCCTCCTCCTGTCTCCTCTCCTCTCCTCCTGTCTCCTCTCCTCCTGTCTCCTCTCCTCCTCTCCTCTCCTCCTCCTGTCTCCTCTCCTCCTCTCCTCTCCTCCTCTCCTCTCCTCCTCCTGTCTCCTCTCCTCCTCCTGTCTCCTCTCCCTCCTCTCCTCCTCCTCAGCTCTCAGTGTGGATGGAGGGCCTCCAGAAGCAGCTCTCCTCAGATCTCTGTGTTTGTCCCGACACTGTGGAGGCTCTGCAGACTCTCATCAGCCAGCAGCAACAGCAGCAGGCCAACACACAGGTACCTGCTGACCTCTGTCCCCGCCCGTCTTAGCTGACCCC